ACTTCAGTAAAAGATGATGAAATAGATGACAAAGTCATTGCTCAATTGCAAGATTCTATGATTCGTGGGAATAGTTCAACTTCAAATGAAAGAGATGATAATACCACTGCACCTACCAATACCAAAAATGATGCCCCTGGTGATCACTCTGCCCCTCATGATCAAAAGGTAACTCATGATCCAGAACAAGTTCCAGTTGATAAACCTGATGATGACTCAGCAATCAGAGAAGAAATTCCTAAAGTGCCACTTAAATCAGAAGCAGGAGGAGCTATTGATGAGACTTTAATGACTGCAACTGTATCTCATGATGTCGTGAGCAGGGGTAGTTCATTTATTGATGAGAAATTTGATCCACTGGAATATTGCAGAAAGACATCTAACATTGAGAAAATGGGTCTTCACAGACAGTGGCTATATTTTTTTGATTCTGGTGGCCAAATTCAGTTTCAAAAGTTATTGCTAGCATTCATGCCATGTCCTTCTGTTCTTATTCTTGTGGTCAATTTGTCCAAGAAACTTTCAGAGCCTTCAAATACAGAGATGGAGCTACCTAACAACGAGAAAGTAATAGTTGATATCAATTCCTTGAAAATAAAAGATATTTTATCTCAAATGATATCTGCAATAGCTTCTAAAACACAGCAGCATAAGCTGGCTAAAAGTGATTTTAATTATATTAAATATCCTGATGAAAAGCTCATTGTCCTGACAGTAGGAACACACAGTGACAAATTGGAGGGTTTCATTAAAGAAGGTAAAGAAGGCATTGAAAAAATTGAAGCAAAGCAAACAGAATTACGTAAAATGCTAAATTCAGTTTCTAATTCATGTACCTATGACACTGACTGTCCCCTTTATAAGATTGATGGTCGTAAAGCTGATGATAAGCCTGGTGAGTCTGATGATGGCGTTACCAGTGCTAGTATAGAAAAAGTTTCCAATCATTTAAAAAAGCAAGCTCATAAAATTGACGTGCCATTAAGGTGGCATTATTTTGGAGTCATACTTCGTAAAAAGGCAAATGAGAGCAATGGTTTGTTAAGTAGGTCAGAATGTGAGTTTTATGGTAAAATGCTGGGTATGAAAGTTGAAGAAGTTCATAGTGCACTTCATTTTTTTCACAAATTGGGAATGTTATTTTATTATCATGAATCGCCTACAAATGATATAGTGTTTGTCAAGTTGGATTGTCTCATTGATATTATCAGAGATTTAGTGATTACAGTAAGTAAATCCTGGGACTTATCATTGGAGGAGTTACATCCTGTAAAAAAGGATTTACGTGTCAAAGGCAGTCTTTCTGTTGAGATTCTTAAGTCATCTGATGCATTTAAAGTGATTGCAAAGCAGCTTTTTAATGATGACTATGATATTTGCTTTAAAAAACTTATAGCACTTTTCCAGTATCTTAAAATAGCTGCTGAAGAGCGAGAAGAAGGACAATTTGTCATGCCAGCACTTCTTCCCCTACAAGACGTAAACACCATCAAACTGCCATTTCCTCAGACAAAAAGTTCACCTCTTCTGTTTTATTTCAAAAATGCTGTTCCTATGGGCTTCTTCTGTGCCATTATAGTCCATCTTCTTTCAGAGTCAAATCCTTGGAAAATTTTTAGTGAAGAGGGTAGTTTTTCTAATTTCTGTACTTTGCAGCAAAAAATAAAAAGAGGTCGTTTTTTTAAAATAGCATTAGTGGAAAAGCTAAATTGCATTGAGATTTATTGTGATAAAGGTCAGTATCCACTTAAAGCAAAAAATGAACTAGATAAAGCTATTGATAGTGTTATAAAAGTTCTGAAGCTTTGTGGAAAACCATCACCAGCTTTTTATTGTCCATGCAAAAAAGGAGGAGAACATGTAGCTACTGTAGATCTGAAAGAGTGGGATAATAGCTCTATTGATTGTACATTATATAGCAGTCTAGAACTATCAGATGAGAAGTACAATGATTATTTTTCATGGTTCTTTACCCAAGAAGACTGTAAGTCATATTTGTCATGCTGTTTCCTATTGTAATTTATTTTTAATTTTTTCAGATCCAAATGTCCCAGTTGTTGATGAAACTGATGGACCTGATTCAATGCAGTGTGCTAAAGTAGACAGTAAGTTTTACATAATCATTACTGACAAAAATTGACATAGCGCTTTCATGAAAAATCTTTAATATAAAATCCACAACAAGTAAATGAACACCTTGTAGTAGGTGCTTATTTGTTTTAAAAATATTTATGTAGACATAAATTAGGCTCTACACTGTTTGAGCAAATTCTTTGCCTCAATTATCAGTTTGGTTTTTAATTATATACATGTAGTTGTTCCCTCACTTGTTGCAGTTCCACCAACTAAAAGAGTTAGAGCGGAAGAAGGTAATATTGGCTTATTTATTGGTACCTACTCTTGATAATATACATGTACATTTCATTTTACATAGAGAAATTTAAAGATGAACAGGCAGCTAAACTGATCAAGAAAGAGACTCAAAAGGTTGCCACATTTCTTGGTAAGAGGGATTATTTTTATCCTCAGGATACTGTATATATGGACTATCATGCATATATACATGTATCGTATAGTGAGTTTATTTTGAGGATAATAATTTTTGCAAATGGCCTGTATCCGGAAGTTTGTGGAATTAATTTTTGCAAATTGCCACTTTTCTACCATCTTGTAGTGTATTAAATTAATTTTCAAGGAATTTAATTTTGCAAATCTTCAAAAGTTTGCGAAATTTGCGAAATTTGTTATCCTCAAAATAAACCCGCTCTACGGCATATGTATTCAGCATATATATTTTATCATAATAAATTTAGGTGTTGACATTACAATACTCATAATTTTTACATGTATTTATTATTTTTATACAGACGTCCTGTTAGACATGAAGCCTCAAATGGGTGACCTCAATAGGCTTTTTGATAGTTCTGCTGCCCACCATTATTTAACTATTGGTATTGCACTTGGTGTTAAAGTTGATGACCTGCCACCTAATCCACAATCAACCACTAGTAACCTCATACTAGTGTTCCAGAGGTGGATAGACTCTGATAAAGAAGTGACCTGGAGGAAAGTACTTCAAGTTTGTGATGATTATCCTCATAAGTTTGGACTAGTAAAAGCTGAAGTGGAAAAGTTTCTTTCATCAGATAGAGCTTGCAAAGAATATTTAAAATAGTATATGTATTCCCCTTGTGTGTGTTCAAGTGTACGGTAATTACAATGGCTTGATAGTATGGCAAATTATTTCCTTGTTGAGACTATTAAATTTAAAATACCTTTTTAGGTTACATTCCAGTTTAGCTCCTACCTAATTAGTAATTAATTTTAATAATTTTAACCCCTAAATCTAAACTTTAAAAAACTAAACCCTAAACCTAAAAAAAAGAATCCTAAACCTAAGAAACTAGTAATTTATTATTATTCATGATGATGAAATATCAATTAGTTTTTAATAATTATTAATTGAGGTAGGACCTAAACTTCTTTTTACTGTATCTAGTTCTAGTTCTATACTTTTATCAGTCTGTTTTATCTACTTTGCTGATTTTTAAAAAATCTTGTTCAAACCTGTTACTAATTATTTATTGTAACCATTTTGTTTCTATGGGTGGGGCTTGTAACTAGGTCAAGAACCACGCCTACAACAACTGTGTTAAAGTGTTTGTGGGCTTGGCTAACTCATCCCCTTTAACTTTGTTCAATGAAAAAGAAAATCCTCTGAAAATCACAGAAAATGGATAGAAGTGAAGAGGACACACTAGATACACTGAAAGGGAACGTCAATAACATTGTAATAGGAACAATATACGGAGTTTTACTGGTAACTGACCCTATCAATAGTGATAAATGAAGCATACACTCATCATTCCTCTTCATTACAGATTATTATTATCATTCATATCATTGTTCGTTGTGAGTTGAGGAGGAGACGATTAAATAATAACACGATACACATACCAGGAGACAAATCATTCAAACATAAAGTAAACTTACCGTATTTCCTTAAATAAAAGCCAGATGTGAATAAACGCCAGGGTAGCATAGAATTGAACTATAAATACGTAAATCTAGCCTTGAACTAACTCAGATGCCTTGTAGATACTTCTGTAGGTCCTGAAGTCAAGTACATGAGGTCATGGATTTGAATTCCATTTTGAGCTCAAGGTTTATTTTATTTTTAAAAATTTTTTTGAGGTCCAAATACCATTTTAGGAAATAGACGCCCTGGCCCGGGCTTTTATTTAAGGAAATACGGTAAAAAATAATATATATTCATGGTTTTAAAGGGTTACTATTTTAAGAGGTGTGGTTTAGCTAGGCGATTAATTTCATGTGGTTTATCTATTAATAGTTATTTCCTTATATAGAAGTTACGTCAGATCATATCATGTGACATTGAAAGAGTTCGTAATATTTCATCAGACGTGAGGCTAGTCGATCAATCATTAGATCCATCTGCTTTCGGAACCTCTTCAGGTAATTATTATTATTATTATTATTAATTATTAATTACCTAAAAATTGATAATTTTCACCTCAAAGAGGGTGGCCATTTTTAAAGATGATAGTTCAGAATCTTCTTTATTGTAAAAGATGTGTATCTCTTGATAATAAATGAACCTCATTAATTAATAATGGTTGTTATTGTTGTTGTTTATTGTTGTGTTGTTTATAAGTTTATTAATGAGCCAATAATACCTTGACAATGGTGTTTGTAATACTACTAATAATAATCATTTATTGGCACAATGACATTGTTTATATATACAAGACTATTGGGATATTGTAAACTATATCTTAATTAACCTTCACCTTCAATCAATTATTATTATTATAACAGGGAACTATATACTACTGGTCTTTGGGACCTTACTTGAAAAATTGAAGTCGGAATCACCTCAAACTTTCTACACAGCATTAGGGCATCAATATGTATCAAAAAATGTAATAAAAATTTGTGGTGATTTCGGAGTCATTTTTTTAGAAAAAACCATGGGCTATAGCCTTGGGTATTTATTAGAATTTTGGCATTTTCTTAAAATGGTCGTAACTTGAAAAATTGAAGTCGGAATCGACTTAAACTTTCTACACAGCATAAGGACATCAATATGTATCAGAAAATGTGATAAAAATTTGGGGTGATTTCGGAGCCATTTTTTGAAAAAACCATGGGCTATAGCCTTGGGTATTTTTCCGAATTTTGGCATTTTCTTAAAATGGCTGTAACTTGAAAAAATGAACTCGGAATCACCTTAAACTTTCTACACAGCATAAGGACATCAATATGTATCAGAAAATGTAATAAAAATTTAGGTTGATTTTGGAGCCATTTTTTGAAAAAACCCATGGGCTATAGCCTTGGGTATTTTTCAGAATTTTGGCTTTTTATTAAAATGGCCGTAACTTGAACTATACAGGATATTACAGTTATTGTATGCTAATTAGTGTATGTCATTATGATGAGTAAAGTATTGTGCTATTTATAACATTTATTTATTTATTTATTTATTTACAATAATTAAATTGGAACTAATCTAAGTATTTGTTTAGAAGGAAGTGTTTAGACATTGTGTCATTGATGAGTGTCTAAAAACAGGATATTACAATTATGACAATTATCATTCTTACATTGATACATGTAAACACTGCCCATACTCACCATTGATATTATTAACATGTTCTATGTATACTATTAGAATTCATTATTTATGATTGGTAATTCTCAGATATTTCTTTATTACGTTGATCCAAAAACTGTCATCAAGTTTTACCTTAACAATATCAGTGATATACGTACGTGTACATATATTGTATTAAGAGCAAAACCAAATCACTATATTCATACTAACCCTTTCCTTCTCCCTCTCACTCCTTCCTATCCCTCTCTTTCCCTCCCTTTCTCCCTCTCTCCTTCTTCCTCTCCCCCTCCCTCCCTCTCCCTCCCTAACCCTAAACCCTAAACCCCCTCCCTTTTCCTCCCTCTTCCTCCCTCTCCTTCTTCCTCCTCTTCCTTCCTCCTTGTGTGTTTCTCTTAGCCACAAAACCAAACACTTTATTTCCCTAGCACCAAAGCCTCACCACATCAATAACTACTGTATCAGTAATAATACATTATACTTGTCCATTAGTAGCAGTATTGGTACGTGTAGTGTGTGCTGGTCTATTTGTTATTTCAATTACATCACATGGTGTTACCCTATCTCATGTACAGTACAGTGTGTGTGTATAGCTGATGGTAAGTTTCCCAAAGAACTCTTTTATCTGTAATAACAATTCACACTTAGCAGTTATTCTAATAATTGATATATCAATGTATATACCTGTATATAGTATTACCAATGATACATGATCTTCCATGTAATGTGATATTGAATTCTCCCTCCCTCTCTCTCTCTCTCTCTCTCTCTCTCTCTCCAGATGACAGTCCGTTCCCTGGTCACTGGTACAGGATGAAAGCTTTTGATGAATCAGCAGATTTTGGTAACTAACGCACACACAAATACATTATTATCATTATTTATTTATTTATTTATTTTATTTATTTATTTATTTATTTATTTATTTATTTATTTTATAGTGACCGCTCATATAAATTATCTGAAGCTCCATGATGATAAATCAGTTCTCCTCCTCTCCCCCTCCCCCACCCAGCTCCCCATTAACAAGTTCCTCTTACTATTGAAAGAGGCTGGAGTGTTGAGTGATGGTAATGACCCTATCATTAATGAAGTTAACGAGATTTATAATCACTGCAGATATGAAGCAAAGGTGTGGTTTTATTTATTATTGTACATAAAAGAGGAATCTTAAAATGATATTATTATTTTTATTATTATTTTGACTGGAGGGTATCTACATGTATGGTGTCATTAATTAATAATTTAATAATAATTATTAATGTAGTTATTGTCTGTCTGCATTGTAGAGTCGTAGCCATAGCAACGGTAGGTGTTAGTCACGTACAAATGTACATGTACATGTACAGACTAGCCTTGCTATAATGGACACTGTGTCTCTGTTATACAGAGGTGTCCTTTATGTGGAGGTTATTTTATACAGTAAGGAATGTAATTGGTACACTAGGTGCTGTCCGTTAAATGGAGGTGTACACTATAGAGAGTGTCCATTAAGAGAGGCTACACTGTACATGTACTGTGCTATTGTTGTAGTATTAGTACATTAAAGTCCCTTTATACCAGTGCGGTAGTAATTATTGATGTACATGTATATCTCTACGTTAATTATTAGTAATAATGATAATGATTATTTTAATATAGTATGAGTGATAAAGATATGAGATTAGATAACAACAATAATAAATAAATAAATAAATAAATAAATAAATAATTATTAGTGTGACCTCTTCATTAATGAGTCCATTACTAGTAGATGATGGTTACATATTAGTGGGTTCTGTGTTTCTAATTATGATCATGTTCTAAGAGCTCTGTGAGTGTATTGCTCTTAGTTTGTGGTTTTATTTAATCTCATTAGCTCTTCCTTCCTCTCTCTCTCTCCTCTCAGAGCTTCACAGTAACTCATTACCAGAGAATCAAGCACCTTCTAGCAGCACTGGCTAACATGTGAGAACTAACTACATGTACTCATTATACTGGGATATTCATCTTTGGGTAGAAACTGCTTGCAGTTTCTACCCAGTATACATGTACATGTACATATGCATTAGAAAATGTAATAAAAATGTAGACTTTTCTTCTTTTCAGTTTTGGCAAATTTTGACCAAAGTACAGGGACTTTGGCCTGATTTCGGAGCAAATTAAAAAATTCATATAAAATCCAGATTGAGTTCAAACTTTCTACACAACATAAGAATATGTATATGTATCAGGAAATGTAATAAAATTGAGGAATTCTCTCCTTTTCATATTTAACTAAACACCTTAATTTGGAGCAAATTTGATATTCCGTGAAATACTAAACTGCAGCTACAATACATTACAATACATTACAATACATGTATATTAATGTAATGTCTGTGATGTATTGATTTCCTGAAGTCTTCCATTAATAATAATAATGACCAGTGATTAGATTGCATTACTTAGTGTTACTGATAGTCGCTGATATGGTATTGTTTTGTAGTCATGCCTCAGGGACAATGTCTACAACACTTGAAATGAATACATACCTCACCACATAGTGGGGTGTGTACATGTACATATAATAGGGTATGTACTGTACTTATAGATTAGGTATATTACAGTAGTGTGGTATGTACATGCAGTGTGTGTTTGTGTGTGTTTGTGTCTGGACTGGATATCTTTGATCAGAGGATGCATATCCTCCATCAGCAGTGACCTCCTGAACTGCTCACTAGCTTACCTGGATCATTGTACATGAAATACTGTAGGTGTACATATCAACCAGTTGCACAGGATATGTGTAATGTGAGATTAATAATAATAATATACTGCCTGAGGATGAACATGTACTTGTGCAATATGATCCAGTGGTACCTGTAGAGTCATTGGTTAATTGGGGTCTTGATGTTACTGAGTTACTTAATGTTCATTGTTACTAAAAATAGCACATGAAGGACAGACCCTGTGGGTAGAGCTATTTTTAGTAACAGGGCTTCATCAATGAACAACCACTGGACTAATATAACCAATATTAATAGATGAAATTAATCTCCTGTTCCTTCTCTCTCTCTCTCTCTCTCTCTTTCTCTCTCTCTCTCTCCCTCTCCCTCTCCCTCTCTCTCTCTCTCCTCCAGTATATCTTCTTCCAGTGGTGTTCTCTCTTCTCTTCCAGTCATTTCATTTTCCACTTCATCATTATCAACTCATCACACTCAGACCACGCCTTTAGCCACACCTACCACACCCCAGGAGCTGTTCATGGGTGGAGCCACCCTAGGAGGTACGAGGGAAACATGTACCTGTACATGTAATGTTATATTCTAAATAAAGCCCGCATTAGCCATTGACCTGTTTATGTGCTATTGTATACCTTTAATTGTCATGATTATGAAAATTATTATTATTATTATTGATTGATAAACAATTGTATTAATAATAATATAATAACAACTATTATGAGCCATTTATTAGTATACAATTGATTGTTATTTATTATTATTGATTGACCCATTCATTAATTATACATACAACTCATTGTAACTTATTAATAATACTTTTAATGTGAATACAGACTAGCCTTGCTGTAATGGACACTTTGAAAGTGTCTCTGTTATACAGAGGTGTCCTTTATGTGGAGGTTATTTTATACAGTAAGGAATGTAATTGGTACACTAGGTGCTGTCCGTTAAATGGAGGTGTACGCTATAGAGAGTGTCCATTAAGAGAGACTATTAAATACAATAGAACTGTTTGATGTAAAAGTATCCAGCTATGGGCAGGATATATTTATGATTATTATATGGTTGAAGTCCATTTCCTCCTTTCAGTAGTTGTTACTGTTCATTCTTATAATAGAAGGACTGTATATGTACTCATGGTAACTGATTCTTAGAATGGATACATGTACACATCATGATTGAACCAGTCACAACACACACACACACACACACAAGGTATCATACACAAATATTTATAATTATTATACACCTAATGTAACCTGATACATGTACATGAAGAGTGGATAAATATTTATCCACTCTTCATGTCCATAATATCACACATTACCTTGAAGCACTAATGTACATGTACTAATGCTATTATACTGTCTACTGTGTACTTGTATATTTCATTTATTATTCATTAGGTTTGACCCCTCCCACCCGATCATCAGTGAAGAGAGACAGTAAAGGTCACAGGCCACCTAATCTTGAGTTAGCGGCGATGACCACACCTACCAGTGCCACACCTACTCCTGCATCATCGTTATTTCCGTGGACTGATACACGAAAACTAATGCCAGGAACCCCTGTATGAGGGCACCCCTCTTATTTGAAAAAACTTGTGAATTTTCTAATTAAGAAAGCCAATAATTGTTTATTAATATCATGTTACTGTACAATCAGTTAATGAATCAGTGAATCAGTTAATGAATCAGTGAATCAGTTAATAAGTGAATCAATACATGTACCCGGAAAGAGAGAGGGAGGGAGGGAGAGGGAGAGAGAGAGGAAGGTAGAGTAGAGACAAGCTTGTGAAGGATGCCTAGCTTGTACCAATAATAATTATTAGTTTGTTACAAGACAGAATGAATAAAGAATGGATTGTTATAATAAACAGATTCACCATAATACACAACAACATGATAGGATCTAATTCAATTAAAAATAGAGGAATTTAGCCGGAGTCAGCTCAAACTAACTGAAACATAAGTACATGCACCAGAAAATGTAATAAAATTGAGGAGTTCTCTACTTGTCAATTTTGGTGAAATTTGACAAAAATCCCTGTATTATAGTACAGGGACTTTTGTCCGATTTTGAAGCAACTTCTAAAAATCATAAAAAATCTAAACTTGATCGAAATCAGCTCAAACTTTCTACAGAACATAAGTACATGTATATGTATCAGAAAATGTAATAAAATTGAGGAATTCTCTACTTTTCATTTTTGGTGAAATTTGACAAAATCCCTGTACTATAGTACAGAGACTTTTGTCCAATTTTGGACCAACTTTAAAAAATCATAAAAAATCCAAATTTGATTGGAATCAGTTCAAACTTTCTACACAACATAAGAACATGTACATGTATCAGTGATTGTAATGAAAACCTCATACTGACTGATACACTACATGTGGTAATAGACCAGTATTGCACTGTATGTTTGTGTGACGTTTGGCAGAGTTGCTAGCAGCTGCTGTCATTCTTTTCATTATTATCATTTTTAATATTAATAAAATTGCAAAAAATTAATACAAAAACAAGTAAAGGAGACACACTTTATGATAACAAAATAATTAACAATAACAACAACAACAACAATAATAATAATAATAATATGTAAATAGAAAAGTACAAACAGAAATGTGATTTAATATACAAACTTTTCAAAAATTGAGAGAGAGAGAGAGAGGAGGGAGATATAGAGGAGTTGCTTGAGATAATTTCGGAGTCTTTAGGAGGTAGAAAAGAAGGTTGAGGGTACAAAATAAAATGGTAATAATAAAATTAATTAATGGTGTTTAGAGCTGAATGAAAATTGCCCGACACGAGCAATAAAACACTCACTTGGTGAGCAACAAAAAAAAACAACAAAAAACAAACAAAAGTAAATAAACTAGTAAATAAAATTAATTAATTATGTAACAAAGAAAGTCCTATTGTAATTACAATTACTGCTGTCGAAGAAGGGTTAAAAATAAAAGGGGTGTGGTTAGGTCACATTATAACTAGTACTTAATTAACTACTAATAACTATTAATTAACTAACACTGGAACACAGAGGTTAGGAATGATTCAGCTCGGACATCATTAGGATTAGTGTGACGAATGTCCACTACATCATGGACACTGCTAAAGAGATCAGCAGAGTAAGGATAAACTGCTGACTGGGAGCAACTACTACCGTAAAGTTTCAAGTCTCTCTCAGCCTGGACGTGAGTGATGACAACGTAAATAAGGTTCTGAGTGATGGGCTGGGTGGGCCCCCAGGACTGACCCAAACTGAGTATGACATTAGGACTCGGTGACATGGTGCGTCTGAGGGAATACTGCTCCAGGAGGTTACGGAACTGGACGTTGTAGTCAAATACCTTGACACGACTCTCCCTCTCCAGGGGGGTACTCTGGTGGTAGTAGGAGGTGCCACAGAAGACGATACTCTTACAGAGAGGAGTCACAAAGACGTCATTGTCATGCATCTCGACCAGTATACCACGAGTCATGGACTCCAGTATACCGTTAGCCTGTGGTATTGGGTGGGACTGCGGAAGGGAGACCTGCTCAGCCTCTAACGGTCCAAAATAAGACTCAAATCTTGCAGCTTGCTCATCATTGCTGGGTGGCTGGTAGTTTGGGCCATAGAAGAGCCGACAGCCTTTAGTACAAGAGACGGTCTTACTGAGGACTGGCATGTTACCGTAATAGACAGTAACTGCAATCTGATTGGAGGACGGGGAGGGAGGGGTGAGGGGGGGAGAGTGAGGCAGGGGTGAGTTCTGGTCCAGGATGATGTTAATAAACTCATCGTCAGTCGTTGGAGCGGTAGTCATGACGCCAGGAACCCCTGGGGTACCCGAGTGATCGGTGGATACTGAGGGAATCCCACCACAAGATGGAGAGCCAGTGGAGTATAGCGACTGCTGCTGCTGCTGGACATCAATGGAGGAGGGAGGGGGGGAAGTGTGAGGGTGAGAGGGAGAGGGGACTGGGGAACAAGTAGGAGGATCAACTATTGAAAGAAAGAAATGTTAATAAACATATATCAATGGTTGTATTTCTCTTCTCTTACCTATTATTCCTCCTCCATAGCCGCTATCAGGTGATTCTTCTCTCCTAATGGCAGCAGCAGTGCTAACAGCTGCTCCGGAATAAGGAGGACACTGTTCGCTGCAGTTTGGTCTCCCCTGGGCCGGGACACTAGTTGGAGTCATGTGATGAGGGCTAGTGTAAGCAGCTGGTGTATAAGGAGTGGTGCAGTAATAACCGCCAACCTGTAAATAAAAGGAAATTATGATAGCAGCGAGTATACAGATAAAAGCATAGTTTATCTTAATTAGATTAGGAGGGACAATCCCAGCTCTGTACTCCCCCCTCTAATGCACAGGGACATGTGTTGGTCTCTCTTTAAAACATCAACAAAAACCAAAAACTAAACAAGAACACTTGTAATCTGATAGCATACCTCAGCCGAAGTCATGGTAACTGGCCCACTGCTCGATGGTATCCCTGCATATCCATGAGGTCTTAGTCCTTGAGCCTGATAATGGCTGACTGGAGGAAAGGACTCGGCTGCTAATGGAGCAGGCCATACGACCGATGGAATACTGGTAGCACCCATTAGGGTAGAGGCAGCTGGAGAGAGAGAGAGAGAGAAAGGATAAGTACATTAGACAGTCATTAAATAAATTAACATGAAGGTAAGTAGGTGATAATTGGGGCTCGTTGCAAAAATACAAGAGAGAGAGAGGGGGGAGAGGGAGAGAGGGGGAGGAAGGAGAGAGGGGCAGAGGGTTCAAGTGTTACTCTCAGAGGGCAGTGGATTGTATAATACACTGATAACAATAACTATCATCAAATGGTGTCTCTAATGACAAACAGAGGCTGCCACAGCTAACTGACCTGCAGTGACCACAGGATACTGTGGATATGGCTCTGTCCCTGAGCTCCGAAGCGATCTCCTTCTCCTCTTGGGAGGTCTGGTCCTAGGCAGGACCTTGTAGACACGGCAGTCTTCTGTCTGGTAGTCCTTCAGCTCAAGGATATCTTTAAGACCGTTTATGGCACATCTAAAGTTTATCTTCCACACAGTGGGATCAGACTCGTCCCTGTACTTCCCAGAATGTATAGCCCATTCCTTGAAGAGGGCCGCATCCCTGTCTCGGTTGTAGCCCCTCTTCTTTGCATGGATCCAGGGAACCTTGAAGACTGTCTTCTCGGGGTCCATCCACTCCAGTCCAGGGAAGCGCCCACTGTTAATCATCCTAATGAGCCAGTCCCTCATCCTTTCAGGTCTCTCTGGTTCTTGTTCGTCTGCAGAGGAGCCGCTCCTGGTTGGCTGAGAAGGCGAGCCTGATTCGTTAGACATTTTGAAACGGATGAACTGCAATGTGGCTAATATTTCCTGCAAGAATGTGCCAAAGGGGCTAATCTAGCTGTCTTGTAGCGTGTTCCTTGTGCCTCAGTAAAAGCTACAAGCTAGCTTGCGTATTCTTTGGGTAAGTTTTTGCAGCTCCAGAAAGGAAGGAGTCCCTTTATATAAGAGCTACCTCCAATTTCTGAGCATGCGCAGTAGAAAAACCGCCAAGAGAACACACCCACCAAGTTATTAAATAACCAAAATTAATAACTAACAATAATAATAACATAACAGAAGCAAAGCAAAGGATTATTAGCATGTATTATTATTATTATTATCAATTAATTATTATTATTATTATCATGATGGCCAAATAGCATAACGAGTTATATGAAAAGAAAGCAACGTCATTATTATTATTATTATTATTATTACAGTTTATAGTTTAGGCCCGAGACTGGATGGACCCCAAGTAGGAGCTTTAGAGGTATTAGCCGGACCCCCTATAGCTGGAAATTCATCTCCCTCAGACCCGGACCAGGGGGCCCCCTTAACAACATAACCTGTACGAGACCCCTTGGCCGTATCTTCAAGCGGTTTTGCAGTACGTCTGGTGTATTGGTTCAAGAGATCCTGTTCCTCCTGCTTCTCAATGACATCCTGCATCTAATGGAGGAGGAGAGAAGGAACAGTAACACCACAGGCTAGCCTTGCTATAATGGACACTGTGTCTCTGTTATACAGAGGTGTCCTTTATGTGGAGGTTATTTTACACAGTAAGGAATGTAATTGGTACACTAGGTGCTGTCCGTTAAATGGAGGTGTACGCTATAGAGAGTGTCCATTAAGAGAGACTATACTTACGTATTCCTCAGCTAAGAGCAGTAAATGTTCTTTGGCATCTTCAACATTCTCCTCAAGACCAGTTACCGTGACAACAGACCCAGTCTTGTCTTTAGGAAATCGAATCGTGACATTGAAATTCTCCATAACCTAAACCATTAATAATAATAATAATAATAATAATAATAATAATAATAATAATAATAATAATAATAATAATGATAAATTTATTGTTAATACTTTAGCAACAGCTTTTCCCTTAGCTCCAATCAATCTACTGTGGACTCTGTGGTCTATATCCAATTCATCAGTGATCTGCTCCTCCTATAAATAACAATAATAATAATAATAATAATAATAATAATAATAATAATAATAATAATAATAATAATAATAATAATAAGAGGATAATCACAATACGCATGTACACGTAATACTTGAGGTATTAAATAATAATGATTATTAATAATAATGTGTTTATGTAATGGATGCCAATGGCGTTTGAATGAGATTATGCAGCTGCTATCCAAACACTGTTTCACATTTATATACACAAATAGCTGGAATACCTTCACAGAACAAAAGAATGCACACACATACAATACTGAATGTAACAAGATCAGTAAAACAAAACCTCCACATAAAGGACAACTCTGCATAACAGAGAAACTATCTTGTCCCAAAGTGTCCGTTATAGCAAGGCTAGTCTGTGTTCATAAAAGGGTGAATCTTGTTATTTTAATCAGCAAAACTTTCAAATTCCAACATAACCGACTCACACCCAATTCATGCTAAAGCCAAACCAATTAATTAATAATGTATAATTACACAAGAACAGTTCTACAGTGTAGTCTCTTTATTAAGGACACCATTGGGCCCACACTACCTGTCCTTAATACATGTACAGTGTAGCCTCTTTATCAAGGACACCATTGGGCCCACACTACCTGTCCTTAATACATGTACAGTGTAGCCTCTTTATTAAGGACACCATTGGGCCCACACTACCTGTCCTTAATACATGTACAGTTTAGTCTCTTTATTAAGGACACCATTGGGCCCACACTACCTGTCCTTAATACATGTACAGTGTAGCCTCTTTATCAAGGACACCATTGGGCCCACACTACCTGTCCTTAATACATGTACAGTGTAGCCTCTTCATTAAGGACACCATTGGGCCCACACTGCCTGTCCTTAATACATGTACAGTGTAGCCTCTTTATTAAGGACACCATTGGGCCCACACTACCTGTCCTTAATACATGTACAGTGTAGCCTCTTTATTAAGGACACCATTGGGCCCACACTACCTGTCCTTAATACATGTACAGTGTAGTCTCTTTATTAAGGACACCATTGGGCCCACACTACCTGTCCTTAATACATGTACAGTGTAGTCTCTTTATTAAGGACACCATTGGGCCCACACTACCTGTCCTTAATACATGTACAGTGTAGCCTCTTTATTAAGGACACCATTGGGCCCACACTACCTGTCCTTAATACATGTACAGTGTAGCCTCTTTATCAAGGACACCATTGGGCCCACACTACCTGTCCTTAATACATGTACAGTGTAGCCTCTTTATTAAGGACACCATTGGGCCCACACTACCTGTCCTTAATACATGTACAGTGTAGCCTCTTTATTAAGGACACCATTGGGCCCACACTACTTGTCCTTAATACATGTACAGTGTAGCCTCTTTAGTAAGGACACCATTGGGCCCACACTACCTGTCCTTAATACATGTACAGTGTAGCCTCTTTAGTAAGGACACCATTGGGCCCACACTACTTGTCCTTAATACATGTACAGTGTAGCCTCTTTATTAAGGACACCATTGGGCCCACACTACCTGTCCTTAGTACAGAGGTGTCCTCATTTCAGAGGTATAGGCTTGTACCAATTGGGACATTACAAAATGTCCTCATTATAAAGGTGTCCTCATTTAAAAGGTTAAGGCTACACGTGTGGCTAAAGTCCATTTGTTAATTGGGTAGACTAAAGCAGCTGTGGTTGATATTCAAATGATCCTCTCAGTGTACTTAGGGTCCAGTGATAGTGTCTTTAGGCACATTGAGAGAGTGTTAATGGCAGCTATCAAGTTTACAACAATAACAACATAATTAAACTGCTCTAGCAATAATAATAATAATAATAATAACGATATACCACCTGCTAACTCTGACTCCCAATTTTTCAATTTTTCCCTACAATGTTGCTGCTAATAAATGTACATGTACACTATATGTACAGTGACCAGTGTGTGTGTGTGTCTGGAGGTGAGTATCAGTAATGTAATACCTGAGTCCCTTGATATCTGCCCTCAGCTTCACCTCAAGCAGATATCTCAGTCCTCAGGTATTACATTACTAATACACACACACACACACACCTCCAGACAGGTACAGGTACAGTGTAATCATAAGTACATGTGGGGTGGGGTGGGGTGCTTCAGATGTGGGTATTATATAATCATATATATTAATAAACACAACAAACAAATTACTTAAATATACAACATCTGAACCACCCACACACATAAAGACACACGCACTGGCCAGTACATGTACATGTACATGTACATGTAGCAAGACCTTATTAATCTTTCATTGATGAGTTGAAGGTATCCATCATTACTGTACAGACTAGCCTTGCTATAATGGACACTGTGTCTCTGTTATACAGAGGTGTCCTTTATGTGGAGGTTATTTTATACAGTAAGGAATGTAATTGGTACACTAGGTGCTGTCCGTCCATTAAGAGAGGCTATACTGTAGGATACAGACATCAAGTGTTCCCCCATTCTCTCCAGAGAGAGGCCTGAGCTGATAAAAGTTGATAAAATTACGGACTGATACTGATAAAGTGACAGTAATTAGGTTTCAGTTTGATTCCTCAAAGGACAGTAAAGGACATAAGGAGAATTGATAAGATAAATATTAGTATACTGGGATATACTGGGATATACTGAGAATGTTAACGGTATTTGCTAAAGCTGTCAATAAAGTGTCAAGTTTATGTTAGGGCAATGAAATATAACACTTTGTTATACTGAGATGTACATGTACATGTACATGTAGCGAAATATGTACAGGGATATACTGAGTTATACTAAGATATACTGACCAGTTCCCTGACAATCCTCAGTATGGCTTCTTTGGCAGAATGGACCTGATGCTCGTAACCTATGATTGTAATCTCATCAGACTTGGCATGATCCTTCTCTGGCATTTGAATGCGGACTCCATTATCATCTCTGATCTTGTTAATGGTCGCTCCTCTTCGCCCAATAATGTTAGGGTGATGCTTCTGGGCCACTTTAATAACTTCAGTATAACTACGCAACTCCTAGGGATAGAATAAATAGAATATATATGGTATTATACAGAGATATACATCTACATGTACTTATTTTTTGAGGTGATTTCGATCAAAACTAAAAATTTTAAAGTTGCTCAAAATTGGGCCAAAGTTCCTGTACTATAGTACAGGAACTTTGGACTAATTTCACTAAAATTGAAAAGTAGAGAATTCCTCAATTTCATTACATTTTCTGATGTACATTTTCTTAAGCTTCAGTTTATCATTCAACCATCAGTAGTACTACAGTGCCAATAGGTTGCAATGATAATGAAGTTCTAATTCATGACATACATGTACATGTACACTATCAAGGTGATATAATATACATGTACATGTACATGTACAGTATTTCCTCTTTGTTTCCACTTCCAAATGCACCATCACACATCAACACACTGTGCTGACAGTAGTACTAACACACTGTACTGACAGTAGTACTAACATACATCAGTACATTAAACTCTCTCTCTCTCTCTTACCCGCTCCTCCTTCTCTGCCTCCAGTTCAAGGACCCTGTTCTCAAGGACATGTTTTGCCTCCTCACAGTTCTGTGCTGTACCATAAATTGATATCCTGTCATCCTGCAGTTCAGGACGAGGGACTTCAACTTGAACGTGATACTTATCAGCCAGTGACCGTATGTCCTGCCCCCTGGTACCCACAATGTACCGGTGGTATTCAATCGGTACGCTGATGTATATAGTAACTGGAATGAGATCCTAATTGAGAAAGAAAATAATAATAATAACAATATAGAACAGCCTCTATATAATGGACACTGTGTCTCTGTTATACAGAGGTGTCCTTTATGTGGAGGTTATTTTATACAGTAAGGAATGTAATTGGTACACTAGGTGCTGTCCGTTAAATGGAGGTGTACGCTACAGAGAGTGTCCATTAAGAGAGAGACTATACTGTATACATTTAATGTATCAATAGTCAGTCAGGCAGTCAGTCAGGCAGGCAGACTTTGCTTGTACTTAATTATTAATAATTGAAATGATACCGTCTGGTCTGCACTTTAATTAGAAACATATACTATTGATGTGATACCAAATATGGTAATAGGATACACGAATAATTAATGAGGGATGAGGGTACTTCCAGTTCATAAATAAAATAATAATTAATAATAATGAACGGGTTAATTAATCTACAAATAAGGCTATAGGGTTACAATGTACATACTGGGATAAATAGCAACTTGCTACATTAAAACTTGACATTTTGAACTATCTTAATTGTCTTTAAAATGGAGGCGTACGCTATAGAGAGTGTCCATTAAGAGAGACTATACTGTATCATTAGTAGATTAGTGTGTATTAGTACATGTACAGTACGTGTGTGTCTATTAGTAGGAGTAATAGTAGGGGTAAGTGTGTGTGTGTGTGTGTGCTTTGTGGTTAGTGGAGGATGTACTTTAGACACTATAGGAAGCACGAGGTGAGAAGCTAATAAAAATATTTATTAAATTATAATTATAATCTACACCCTGGACCTGGAGTACATGTACAGGGTCTATGGTCTAATTCATTGAGAATATTCTTGTCTCCCTCCCTCCCTCACTCTCTCTCTTTTCTAACTGGGTCTGTTTGTTATTCTATTCCGTCTATTTATCATAATAAGATCAGTATTGTTTTTATTATACAATATGTACATGTACGTTTTCATATTATTTTTGATTTATTTTTACGCATGAACACTGCCATATTTATTTATTTATTTTCTGTTTGGCAATTACAACAAGCACACACTCCAAGGTACATGTCATGAATATTAATAGTTTGAATTGACCAATCAGATTGGAGGGCAAGTACTTCTTATTTCACTTATAAACTTACAGAAAAATGGAAAACTAAATAAAAGTAAAATATCACTCTCTATAGTGTACACCTCCATTTAACGGACAGCACCTAGTGTACCAATTACATTCCTTACTGTATAAAATAACCTCCACATAAAGGACACCTCTGTATAACAGAGCCATGTTATTATTATTGTTATTGATGGACTGGGTCTGGATAGACAGTACTACTCCTTATATGGTATGAAGGAATAACTTCCTTGTTATGGTAGAATGTTGTATACATGTACATACGCATCATAATTAATAATAATTAACATCATCAATTATTATAATTATTATAATACATGTACATGAACATGTGGAACAGTGGAAGTAAAAAATTACCAAAAAGGGAGAAAGGGAGAGAGAGATTGATTCTCTTAAGTGGATACACATGTATGTACATGTACATGTAGTTTTGTGGTCATTACATAAAAGGAAGGAGCTGATAAATAAATGGAGGAAAAGGATATCTTTAATATTATAAAAATACCACTTGTGGTCATGCCACATAATCCCCACCACCACCCAACCCTAAATGTACTTGATACCAGTATACATATACCTCTACCTCGACATACATGTACATGTACATGTATATGTATGCCACCTACTTATTGGACATGTTTATAAAGCCCCTTCAACCCACTGGACTTCCTTTAACAACTAATACTGGACCATGTACCATGTACTCCAGTACTGGGTGCTTCATCAGTAATGAAAAGATGAGAATTCTCTATTTTTATAATGTTTTCTGATGCATATACATGTACTTATGTAGCATATAAAGTTTGAGCTGATTCTGATTAAATTTGGATTTTTCTACGAATGTTTAAAGTTGCTCTGAAATTGGGTCAAAGTCCCTGTATAGTAGAGGGACGTTGGGCCAAATTTCACCAAAATTAAAAAGTAAAAAACTCTCCATTTTCTGATAGATACATGAGCTTATGTTGTGTACAGGTTGTGGTGTACAAGGAAACAAGATAATGATTATCATAAATAAATTATTATGACTACTAATATCAATACATGATAACCAATACATGTACAGTACTGATGAACCATTGATATATATGTACATGTATAGACATAATTAATAATAACCCAAATCATTACTTATAATCAATTAATACATTAATACTGATCCTTACCAGTAGTGCTTTCTTAGCGTTGTCACAGTTTTCCTGACGTCCAGAGATAAGAATAATATCACGAGGATCAGAATCACTGGCCATGCCTCCTTCATCATCCTAATTAACAATTATTATTTATTTATTATAACATAATAATAATTATTTTTCCTAGTATTACTTCTTCACTGCTTTGTTTCAATGCTAATGTTACTATTGATACTAATACAGTACAATACAGTTAGTATGTGTTGATAGTGTAATGTAGTGTAGTATAAAGTAAGGTCAGGATGTGCTTCCTTCATCTACCATAACAAACTAACAAGTGATGAAATGATAATAATGTCATTAATAACAATCAGTAGTAACTGTATATCTTCAATGCTGAAACATAGCTACTAACACATACAGGTCTACAGTATCTATAAACCCATAAATGATGGAAACTGGCTTCATGAATTAGGGACAACATAGTTATCATCATCATCATCATTATTATTATTATTTACTTTATCTCCATCTTGTTGTTGGTGTTGTTGTTGTTGTTTATCAGGGAACTTGATGGTCACGTTATATTCCTGAGTGACGGCCTGGACGTTGGATCCCTTAGGCCCGAGGATACTCCTATGCTTCTTATGAGGAATAGAACACTCTACAGTGACCTGGGCCTCCTAATGGAGGGGGGGAGGGAGGGTATGGTCATGGTCACCTTTAGCAATGTGTGATCTACTGCTACTCGACATATTGGTCACAATGGATAAGAAATGTTTGGGACTGGTTAGTGCTCTTTAATTAGAAAGGCATTCCAATACATTAAGCATATAATTAATCACCAGTGCACCAGTACAGACCAGTGCCTGTGCATTATACAATGTACATGTACACTGTATGATGAGGGAAAGTTGGGACAGGAAATAAGGTCATTATATAATAGACAATATGGCTAGGCATCTTGCACATTAACAAATAAATGAATAAATAAATAAATAAATAAATAAATAAATAAATGAATGAATGACATAAACTTACCAACTCTTCAATGACTTCAGCAATTGCTTGTTTAGCTCCTTCAACACACTGTTTAGCACCTGAAATATACAATGACAATAATAATAATAATAATAATAATAATAATAATAATAATAATAATAATAATAATAATATCATTAGTATACACGTTACCTTTAATTGTGACTTTATCAGATGATGTACCAGCACGAGGAAAAGTGATCATAACGCCTCCGTTCTCATCTGATATCTCATGAATCAACTGAGGGGGAGAGAGAGAGAGAGAGGGAGAGAGAGAGAGAGGGAGAGAGAGGAGACCGTTAAATTATTATTATTATTTACCCAAACAATAGTTGTGAATGTTCAAAAAACACCTCAGAAATCACACAATTGTCAGATATTTATTATTCATTTCAGTTTATTGATATTTGTCATACAGACACTTCACTGTATGATAAATAAAGGAAGCATTAAATTGATAATAGAAAATTGACAACATGTACCTGCACATTCCAACCAACCAAACTCTCTCTCTATCCATCCTTTCCCTTCTCCTGACCAAACCTTTTATTCCCCTAAACCCTTTCTCCCACAAGTACATGTACATGTACATGTATATAATAATGAAGGGGTTTTACATGAGAGGTGATTGTGGTTACCACTTCACATAAACACATCAAACTAAATATACCACAAGAATTATCACAATAATAATAACAATTACCATCAATACATGAAGTACATTATATACAGCATAAGAACATACATTTACAGTATAAGTACTAGTGACCAGTGACCAGTGTGTCTGGAGGTGAGTATCAGTAATGTAATACCCGAATCCCTTGATATCTGCCCTCAGCTTCACCTCAAGCAGATATCTCAGTCCTCAGGTATTACATTACTTACACACACACACACACACACACACACACACACACACACACCTCCAGGCTAGTCATGTACAGTGTAGGCTGGTTCATGTAGAGTGATAGTATTGATAGGTGACATTTAGTAAATTATTAATAAAATTCCCCAAAGAAATATTATCACTTAATATAAGATACACAGAGACACTCCATAATAATAATAATGATAAATCAATTAAAGCATAATATACAGTATGTGATCAATTACACACTCATAATTCAATGTATTGTATTATTTAATAGACAAAAAATACCCTAAAATCTCAGAGAGTATACATGTACATCAATACATGTCCATCATGAGATGGTGTTTGTGGTTTTACCATGAAAGAGTTGAGTAGGGAATTAATAACACTTGACAGTAACTAGTTTTGAAAACAAGTTATACCAGTAACAATAATAGGACAATACAGAATTGGGAGACAATGGTTGAAAATAAGTAAAACAAAGAAGTGCCATGGTACCCTATAGAGAATAGACTAAGAAATACAATATACAGTGTAGCCTCTCTTAATGGACACTCTCTATAGCGTACACCTCCATTTAACGGACAGCACCTAGTGTACCAATTACATTCCTTACTGTATAAAATAACCTCCACATAAAGGACACCTCTGTATAACAGAGACACTTTCAAAGTGTCCATTACAGCAAGGCTAGCCTGTACATGTATACACAATAAGGTCTACCTATTATTGTTATCATTTACTACAGACAGACAGGCAGGCAGGCAGGCAGTGAGTATGGAGTGACTGGTTTGGCAGATACTGTGCAGTATACAATTGTTTCATTTGTTTGTAAGCCAAAATAAATGGACATGTAGTAGCAAATAAACAAAGACATTCCAAATTAATACTACAAATAATAATAATAACAATAATAACAATACTATCAAAAATTGTTAAGAGAGAATTTTCAATTTTTATTACACAACTTATGGTACTTTTAAAAGCACCAAAAGTACTTTAAATTTTGGTCTTAACAGTGCCAATGGAAGAGCTTTCAGAACTAAAGCTTAATTGTACTAATTACCAGCTCATGAATAATTCATGAGGCAGAGCGCCTGGACTACAGTCCCAACTGAAAATACATTCAAAAAATAGAAAAATAAATAAAAGATGTTTATTATATGCTGAAAGAGTGTGAAAGTTAACAAATAAATACTAACAAATAGGACCAGTTGAAAGTGAGAGAAATGACCTCGTGATAACATGACAACTGACACAAGATACACAAGAACAATAGGAAGGACAAACAAGACACGTTGGACTGAGAATAGAATAAAGAGAGAGAACATCCACAATGCACTGGTAAACACTAACACTGTAGTAGTAGCTGTATCGGAAAACATGTAACCGTGTACTATAGTACAGGGACTTTGGAGCAACTTTTAAAAATCATAAAAAATCCAAACTTGAACAGAATCAGTTCAAACTTTCTACACAGCATAAGTACATGTATATGTATCAAGAAATGTAATAAAAATGGAGAACTCTCTCCATTTCATCCTTGATACCAAAGACCCTGTACCTGTACTGGTAGGTGGTTAAATGATGTAAGTTTATAGAGGAACCTACATGAAGCTGGTGGGGGAGGGGCTACCCCCTTCATGGTTAGTTAAAAATATATTTATTAATATTTATTATTATTATAAATAGTTCATAGTCCAGTCTGTGGGTGATACTGAATAAATTAATTATATTCATCATAAAAACTGTAGAGACAAAATACAATAATAACAATAGAAAATGAAAATAATAACATTAATTATAATATTAATATTAATATTACTTTATTATTTTTAAGAGTCTGTCTGCGTATACACAACCTGAAGTCTAAACTTAAAGATATACATGTACACATACATGTACCTAATACATGTATAGTTGTATACATTTAGGTACAGCTAAAGGTCAGTATATTTTGATGGTTTGTCTGGTATATACAGCAAGCATTTTCTAAAGAGAATCATTCATTACCAACAGCTCCCCCCCCTCTACTGTACACATGTACTGTACCTAATGTAAGGTTGGACTGGTATATTCAACCTAATATCAACTGCGGTGAGAATGGTAAACTTTCAGGACAGTTTCCAAAATCAATTAAACAAATGGAATTGTACATGTACATGTACACGTGTAGTAGAAAAAGAGAGAAATTTGTTCCTAATATACAGCACGTGTACATGTACAGTAAGGAACTTTATTCATTTTTTCAAGATCTTCCTTTACACTTCTAATTTTAGCTAATTTCCACCTCAAAGCAGGCGACAGGTTTCAATTCTTAATAGTGCCAGTGTGTTGTGTTAGTGTGTTGGTATACAACTTACTTGTCCCCTTCGCTGTACAAAGTGACGGTGATACTTACTGTCTACCATCACCTCATCTTCAGTAACATTATCCTACAAACAAACAACAAACAAACAAACAAATAAATAAATAAATAAATAAATAAGAACCTTACCAAGTCTTTAATCAGTTTGCTGAGGTGTTCCTTGACTGCAGTCACATTCTCTTTGGTTCCAATGATAGTAACAATACTGGAGTCATCACCGGACCCCTTCTGGGGGAACAGGACCCTTGCGCTAAACTGGGACCGTATTTTACGAATCTTGGAGCCCCCCTTCCCAATGAGGAACTTGTGATACTCGTGGGAGCAGGTCAGTTCCTCAGTGTAGTTCTCAATGGCGTGTTGGGCTGCCATCTCCAGCAGCATAGCCTTTGCTTTATTGACGTCTTCCTTAGGACCATGAAGCTGGACCTCATCACTAGTGCTGTCACTGGAATAGGAAACAATATTTAAATACTGTTTTTAATAATAATTTAAATACTGTTTTTAATAATAATTTAAATACTGTTTTTAATAATAATTTAAATACTGTTTTTAATAATAATTTAAATACTGTTTTTAATAATAATTTAAATACTGTTTTTAATAATAATTTAAATACTGTTTTTAATAATAATTTAAATACTGTTTTTAATAATAATTTTAATACTGTTTTTAATAATAATTTAAATACTGTTTTTAATAATAATTTAAATACTGTTTTTAATAATAATTTAAATACTGTTTTTAATAATAATTTAAATACTGTTTTTAATAATAATTTTAATAATTATACACATGTCATCAATGTCATGTACACTTCTATAACCACGCCCCCTGCCCCACCCCTTTCTTACGATGAAGGAAACTGTATCCTGATCCCTCCACACTCCTCCATTATTGATCGGATCAGTTTACCACGAGGCCCTATGATAGCATTGTGCTGTTTATGAGGAATCTTGATAGTAACATCAACCACTAGTGCCTGGATAAAATAAATAAATAAATTTATTATTATTATTATTATTGTTATTATTGTTATTACCATTTGTTTCTCAATATCTTGTAACTGTCTCTTAGCTTTCTCCACATTCTCCTTCCTTCCAGTGATTAGTATCACATCAGAATCACTACCTTCCTTTGGCATGTCTATCTTAGTGTTGGTTTCTTCCCTTATCCTCTTGAGTGTAGCCCCTCCCCGCCCAATGATGGACCCGTGGAACTTCTTAAATATCTTCACCTCCGACTTGTAATTAGAATCAGCCTATTAATAATAATAATAATAATAATAATAATAATAATAATAATGATGATGATGATGATGATAATAATATATAAACTAAAAAATCTGAAAAATACCCAAGGCTATAGTCCATGGTTTTTTCCAAAAAATGGCTCCGAAATCACCCCAAATTTTTATTACATTTTCTGATACATATTGATGTCCTTATGCTGTGTAGAAAGTTTGAGTAGATTCCAACTTCAATTTTTCGAGTTACGGCCATTTTAAGAAAAAGCCAAAAATCTGAAAAATACCCAAGGCTATATAGTCCATGGTTTTTTCCAAAAAATGGCCAAAAAATCACCTCAAATTTTTATTACATTTTCTGATACATATTGATGTCCTTATGCTGTGCAGAAAGTTTAAGTCGATTCCGACTTCAATTTTTCGAATTATGGCCATTTTAAGAAAAAGCCAAAAATTTGAAAAATACCCAAGGCTATAGCCCATGGTTTTTTTTCAAAAAATGGCCAAAAAATCACCTCAATTTTTTATTACATTTTCTGATACATATTGATGCCCTTATGCTGTGTAAAAAGTTTGAGCTGATTCCGACTTCAATTTTTCGAGTTACGGCCATTTAAAAAAAAGCCAAAAATCTGAAAAATACCCAAGGCTATAGCCCATGGTTTTTTTTCCAAAAAACGGCTCCAAAATTACCCCACATTTTTTTACATTTTCTGATACATATTGATGTCCTATTGTTGTATACATGCATTTTAATAAAGATCATAAATTATTATTATTATTATTCTTACAATATCCTTTGCCTTCTTCCCCAGGTAGGCAGCACAGTTATTAACTTCATCAGTTGGTCCCCTCAGTGTTACCTTGTTGCTCCGGAGTCCTTGCTCAGGGAAGGCTACATGTACCCCAGGGAACCTGCACCATACAAGAACACATCAACAAGAGACGTGGTGGGTACAAGGAGAGCTAACCTGTCCCTCAGTTCCCTCATGTTCTCTCCGTTGGCTCCAATCACCAGCTTATGCCACTTCTGGTCAATATCCACTGATACTGTCAACTCATTGGCCTGCCAATAGAAGAAAATATAAAAAATAAAGAACTCTCTACTTTCAAATTTTGGCAAAATTTGGACTGATACTATAGGCTGTAGCCTTTGGTTGTTGGTCAGATTTTTAAGTAACTTTAAAAATGAAGCCACACCCACACAAAGTTACCAGTTTAGTTGCCATTTCCAGTATCATTTTCTTAGCGGCGGCCACCCCCTGGGGATCACCCTCTATCCTAATGACATCACTCTTCTGCTTATCAGACGGGATCGTAATAGAAGTACAGGTCTCAACTTTAATCTTATTTACTAGTAATAATAATAATAATAATAATGAATAATAATAATAATGAATAATAATAATAATAATAATAATAATAATAATAATAATAATAATAATAATAATAATAATAATAATAATAATAATAATAACGATAATAATAATAATAATAATAATAATAATAATAATAATAATAATAACGATAATAATAATAATAATAATAATAATAATAATAATAATAATAATAATAATAATAATAATAATAATGAATAATAATAACGATAATAATAATAATAATAATAATAATAATAATAATAATAATAATAATAATAATAACAATAATAATAATAATAATAATAATAATGAATAATAATAACGATAATAATAATAATAATAATAATAATAATAATAATAATAATAATAATAATGAATAATGAATAATAATAATAATAATAATAATAATAATAATAATAACGATAATAATAATAATAATAAATTAATTAATGTATAGTCTACCATTAGCTCCTTTCTTCCCAATAATGTGTGGGTGATACTTCTGGTCTATATGAACCTCAACAAACTCCATAGTGGCCATCTATTAATAATAATAACATAACCACACCCACTACTAGACCCCGCCCACTAATACTCACCAGTCCTTCAGTAAAGTTCTCCAATGATTCTTTGGCAGACTGCACTTCATCCGGTGGTCCTTCTATCACAATAATGTCTCCTTCTTTAGGGAAGTTGACGGTGACATGAAGGTCCTGGGTTATGTTCTTGATGTTCTCTCCTCCTCGGCCGATGATGAACCGGTGGAGCCAGGAGGGGGCGGAGACCTCTTCATTAACTATGCTGTTAGCCTAACGAGGGGGAGGGGCCAAAAGGGAGTAATGGTTGATGTAAAATGACAAGTTTAAAACTGTCAAGGTAGTGGAGGTATAATTATTTAATTTTAGATGAGGAAATTTAGTGAATTCTCTCCTAGTGATTATTAACAACCCACTCAGTGGTACAGTACAGGGTGTATTAGCTGTATTTCATTAATAGAGTGGGTGTAACTCATTAATAGAGTGGGTGTAACCTCCTGATGGTCCCTACCTTGCTGTAGACTAGAGTGAGAGCCTCTCCCATCTTGTGCTGTGGTCCTCTCAAGGTAATGGTAGCGTCTTCTGATCCTAACATTGGAACATCAACATAGACTCCTAAAGAATGGGGAGTAGCATCAATCATCATCATCATCATCATCATCATCATCATCATCATCATCATCATCATCATCATTACTGTACCAGTTTTTTCCAGTATTTCTTGCACTCCTTGTCCCTTGGGTCCAATCACATATCTGTGTTGGGTCTTACGAACCTCAACTGAGACTGTAGTATAGTTCCTCTTCTAAACAAACAACAAACAACAACAACAACAACACATAAACAACAACAACACATAAACATGTTCGGTAGCATATTTAGCAGATACAATACTTCCTATACCAGCTGGTATGTTTATTAATGACTCAAGCTATAAGCTGTGGTATTTCAAAGTTGCTGGTTCTTTAAAACACTAACAGCAATGAAGGGACCAGGGGCTAACTATACATACATGTATCTGATCCCTCTCCCTCCCCCTCTCCCTCCCCCCCCTCCCTCTCCCTCCCCCCTCTCCCCTCCTTACTGCTGCTTGATACAACTGCTTCACACTAGCTGCTGCCTGTGCCACACCCTCCTTCTCTCCTGATATGTTGATGTCACTCTTCCCAGAGGAGAAGGGAGGGACGTTGACCCTCACCCCAGTAGCCTCTTGTATGGAGGAGAGGTGAGAGTTGTTTGGCCCACAGATGAACGGGTGGAACTCCGACTCTATCGTAAGGATCTCTTTACCTTGCTTGGACTAATGAATAAATAATGAGGAGGTGTGGCTTAATCAATGAATATTAATTAGCATTAGATTAAATGTGTGCAGCAAGTAATGAATCTTTAAAACACTAATTAAAGTGGTATATTTGCTATTACTAATAAGACATTCACTAAAAGTACATTAACAGCACTAATATTAACAATACATGTACATCTTCACAATTGAAGAGACTACATGTACATGTGCAGCATGTTTTACATGTACATGTATTTTATCAGCGTACCAGGTCTTCAGTGAAACTCATCAGTCGTTGCCTAGCAACCTCCACCCCCTCCTTGTTCCCTGTGATACGGACGGTTTCAGAGGAGTCCTCTTGTCTGGGGACACTGATCTTAGTGTTGGTACTTTGCTCCAGCTGCTTGATGTTAGAGGCTTGTTTACCCAGTAGCATACCGTGGTGTTGCTTAGGAACCCGGAGCTCAACATTGTACTAATGGAAGATAGAGAATGATCATAGCTGGAGGGAATGTTGGCTGCTGGAGCAACTTCAAAATTCATAAAAAAATCCAAACTTGATTGGGATCAGTCCAAACTTTCTATGTCACATAAGTACATGTACATGCATCAGGAAATGTAATAGAATTCTCTCCCAGACATTACAGGCTATTGAAATGCAGCTGCTCTTAAAAGGGACACATATCATACAGTGTACATGTACATGTACATCAGGTGCTGATTGTATTCAAATGGAGGTGCTAATGGCCACTCACTGTACCAGTACACAGGTAGCAGTACCTTTGTATGGAGTTCACTCATTATGAGCCTGTGGGCCTCCTTCACTGATGAAGGACGTCCAGTTATCATGATAGAGAGGCTCATGTCCTTAGCCTGATTCATCTCAATGGTACAACCGGTCTTTGACATGATATCACGAACCACAGCTGCCTGCTGACTGTCACCCCCGCCAAAACTAGGATCAGATGATTTATAACGCCTTTCCTCAACTGGGACACTAATAATCTATTAATAATAATAATAATAATAATAATAATAATAATAATAATAATAATAATAATAATAATAATAATAATAATAATAATAATAATAATAAATAAGAAGACTCATCTAACTAAAAATGGGAGAATTTCAGGAGACCTAGACCAAATATGGAAGACCAAGTCTCCTAAACTCCCTCTAGATCTACCAGTGGTTGTTAATGATTACCAGCTGCTAATATACAGACCAGCTGTTCCCTTACTTGAGTCACAGTCGAAGTAGGTATTGATTTCATTGGAGCTCCACCTGGTGGTCCCCATGAGCTAGTGGGTCCTTTCCCTCCTGCAGGCTTAGAGGAGTGAGAGTGGCCAACTGGTCCAGCGGTTGGTTTAATGGCCGCGCCCCCTCCCCCTAGAGGAGGGAAGGCCTCAGCGTAGGTTGATACCTCACCGTTTTCCATTAAATACTAATAATAATAATCAATAAACAGGATCTGCAGTGTAACACCACCTGAGGACAATAATAATAATAATAAAATAATTAATAATAATAAATATTAATAATATTAATGATGTTGATGATGATGATAGGTGTTAATACATGTACATGTATATTCATAACACTCTTGTACATTATAATTACTACTAATCACATTAAACTGCAATTGATCGCTATCAACAACCACAACAACAACAATAACAACTGTATAATGTATCTAACTGTACATGTACTTACTGCTTCCAAAGGCAGTCCGGGGGCTGTTACTATAAGTAGTACAGAGCCACTCTGACTGTACTAATACCAATCAAAACCCGAGGATTGTCCACAGACTGAGAGAGAAAGAGAAAGAGAGAAGACAGGATCCTTTGTCCTCCTCTCAATGGCTCGCCCAACAATAATGTTTTGTTCCGTAGACTATAGTATACGGAGCAGTTATACAGGACTGGATTTATATCTTATGGGAGTGGCTAGTAAATCTGGGTGTGGCTATTTCAAAATGGCGTCTTTTGGAAAGGTTATTAGAAAAAACTCTCTAAATGCCTTCTCTCGTGTTGTATTGAGGAGAGACTTCACTCGTGGAAGGCATTCACTAGGGCTAGTGTATGGGGAGTATGGGGACCCTGGAACTGTTTTAAAGTAAGCAATAAACCTCATGGGGGATGGGCTAACATTATGAACTGTAGATTAGAAGAGATACCAGTAGCTGAAGATTTAAAAGATGATGAGATTGAAGTCGACATGTTATGTGCTCCAGTCAACCCATCGGATATGAATCAAATACAAGGTATACATAATAATAAATTAATAATTGATTAATTAATTTACCATTAATTGCAGGTACTTATCCGTTCAAGTCCGAGCTACCGGCAGTCGGTGGAAATGAAGGAGTGGGTTTGGTCAGGAGGTGTGGCCTAAGAGTAACTGGAATGAAAGAAGGTGACTGGGTGATACCAATACTACCAGGAGTAGGTATAATAATTAATTAATTAAATTATAAGACAACATGTACATGTACAGCTAAATTTGCTAAAATTATTATTATTATTGTTGTTGTTGTTGTTGTTGTTGTTATTATTATTATTAGGAACATGGCGGTCTACACTGATATCAAATTGTAATAAATTTTTAAAGGTATCTTCATCAACTGGACTGGATTTTGCTGCTACTCTTCAAGTGAACCCGCCCACTGCCTATCGAATGTTAAAGGACTTTGTGTCGCTCCAGCCTGGGGACACTCTCATTCAAAATGGAGCCAACAGCGGAGTAGGACAGGCAGTGATACAGTTAGCAGCTGCCTGGGATATTAGCACCATTAATGTAGTGAGAACAAGGTATTGGGCCCACACTACCTGTCCTTAGTAAAGAGGTTTCATTATTATAGACCTGATTCATCAGATTTTGATGTCATTAATTATTTGAAAGAACTCGGTGCTACTGAAGTAGTCACTGAAGAATTTCTACACTCACACAAAATGAAAGAACTCATCAAAGTATGTGCTATTAATAGTAACATGATGGGTCTATTAATAGTAACATTATTGATGTGATAGGGTTATTCAAGGCCAGCTCTTGGTCTAAATTGTGTGGGCGGAGACAGCTCCACTGGTGTTGCTAAATTGCTGAAAGAGAAAGGAACTTTGATTACGTACGGCGGAATGTCAAGGAAACCTGTTACCATAGCAACGGTAACTATAATTTGAAAATGATTTATTTCAAATGATGTATTGTTACAGAGCCTCTTCATCTTTAAACAATTGACTTGTATTGGATACTGGAATGGACTCTGGCTAACCAATAACATTACTAATAGTAAGAACTGACCCCTTTTCTCCTTCCCTATCAGTGTCTGTGTCATCATTAACTATTATTTATTTGTTCAGACCGGGCACTGATTGAAGACATGTTTCATGATTTGTGTACTTTGGGAGAGAAGGGCCTCCTCAGGGCTCCAAGATCAACAAAACACGAACTAATTAATTATAAAAATGCAATTAACGAGTCTATGAAACCTTTTGTATCCAGTAAACAATTACTGATGATTAAGAATTAATTAAGACAAGGCATCACACGTGGCAACACGTGGTTTGGCAGGACAATAAAGTATACGGAACGAGTTGCAATTTCCGTATACTACACTAAACTAATAGCCACGCCTACTCTCTAAGGGTGTGCCCCTAATACAATAGAACTGTCAGACGTTATATGAGGCAGACAGTAGAAGCTACTCAATTCAATGGATCTGCTGGGGACTATTCTAAACAAGATGGATGGGCCGCCTCCTGCTAGCGAGAAGGAGAAGAAAGAAGCAAGAGGTATTGTGGGGGTGGGCGGGGCTTGGGATCACGTGATCCATGTTTCAGATATGAGATCAAAGATTGAGAGGGAACAGAGAATTGAAAAGAGTCGTCGAGAAGCTTTTCGTAAAAATGTAAAAAATAATAATTAATGAAATAATATTTGTTATTATTGTTATTGATAGATTTTAACACAGATTGGTGTTTTCCTTGAAGACGGAACTAAAAAGAGAGTCAAGTTCTCACCAATGGACAAGATAATGAGATCCATAGTGTAAGAATATTGATAATATATGCTAATAGTGTAAGTATAGTAATGAGGAACTGATTCTGATCAAGTTTGGAATATTTTATGAATTTTTTAATTTGCTCCAAAAATTGGGTCAAAGTCCCTGTACTATAAGTACATGGTCTGTGGTCACATTTTGCCAAAATTTAAAAGAAGAGAATTCCTCAATTTATTACATTTCCTGATGTTATTGTATTATATTTTGTGTGTGTAGTCATGAAGTGGCAGAGACTGCTGGAGTGATTGCTTATTCATTTGGTAGTGAAGAAGTGGACAGACACGTGGTACTGTTCAAAAAGGTATCAATCATTGCATCTATACAGTATACCCATTACTCAATACTGAAGTGTTTAACATTTCCAGTCTCACTGCTTTTGAACTGGCATGGATTTAAATTAGAAATAAAATTTAAAATGTAAAATTTAGATTTTTTTTCCATTAAAATAGGAACATGCTCCAAGTGATGAAGAGCTACATGCTCTGAGGAATGGAGAAGTACATCATATACTATCACCTTCAGTGTCCTCATGTGGTATCCTCTCTCCCTATCATTAGGTGTATTCTCCTACTTCAGTCAAGCCCACAGGAGAAGGTGCTACTCCTCTGTTGGGTTCAACTGGTCAGACTAGTTCTAAACCAGTTGGGCCAGTATCCAATTACAGGGATAAATACAAGCACTTGATATCAACGGAAATCAGTGAACCAGCTCCACTCAAACCTCAACCAGAAAGAAACTTTGGATTTGGTAAGTTTGTTACACCATACAGCTGCTATTTTTGGAGGTGGGACATTTTAATAGACATTTTATCAAAATAAATCCACCGTTTTGAGCCATTATGTGCATGCTCAATGGCACATGGTTTTTTCTAATCACAGTGTGCCTAATTCTCTCCTCCCATCATCAGTTGATTAATGTAGAATTGATAGTTACACTGTGTGTCATTTCCCTTCCAGTACCCAGTTCTAATAAAAGGGACGTCAGGTCAATAGAGGAAACTTTGATTGACTTAAGAACTAAGAAGAAAGCTAAACTAGAAGCTCCTGATGACAGCTAATGATGAATATATTAATAGTGTCTTTATATTTCATATGTTATATTTTATGTCAGCTAATGTAATGAGTATATTTTTATTTCTTGAATGCTATAATTCCCTTTATACCATTGACCCCTCAATCTTACTGTATGTATGTTCACTGATTGCAGCTTCCACTCCTTATCACTGCAACATGTGGTCAAAGTTTGTCAATAGGACTACTGATACCATTATAAACTGATTTTAGTTGTTTGTCTCTTGCAATGAATTCAGCTCCTACTCTTAACTACTTTTATATCATCATAGAAGCCACAAAGTATGTAATATACAGAAACCAGTGAAGGGCCTTTGATGTGTAGACTCCCCATAGCTCCAGTTACAATACTGTATGTATGTTCACTAATTGGAGCCACCACAGTGTTACCACTCCTTATCATTCCTAAGTAAGGTTTATTGCTGTATCTTTATATAATACAATATACTGACATTAGTAATATCAACTGTGTTCAGGTACATATGTGTGTTAGTACATACTGTATTTTTGGAGTGGCAATGTTTGGCATTCTTCACCAATCCTTCATCATGTAACTACACAGTCTACTGACACTAACCATCATAATGGAATGGTAGTCTTGCTGTGGAGCCACACCTTTGCACTTACTGCTGTACCCAGCCACACCCCTCAGTCAATACTAACACGTTTTTATTGCAAAAGGTAACCTTTTCCTCCTTTTCTTGAAGTGAATTGCGAAACAATCGAAGATGTTTGCAACTCTAAACACAGGAGCAAAGATGCCGCTCTTTGGACTGGGGTACGTCCACACACACTAACACCATCAATCACTCCAAGAAACCTTTACACCACCACACTGCCTTCATTATTATTATTATTGTTGTTGTTGTTGTTGTTGTTGTTGTTATGATTATTATTTCTAGTACTTGGTTATCAAAGCCTGGAGAGGTGGGGCGGGCAGTAGAGGAGGCGTTACGTGTTGGGTACACTCACATTGACTGTGCCCACATCTATGGGAATGAGGCTGAAGTGGGTGTGGCTTTACAAAAGTGTTTTAATGAGGGAGTGTGTAAAAGAGAAGATATATTCATTACTTCAAAATTATGGTAAATAAGTTATTTAATTGTTGCAAATTTTAGCTGATTTTTGTGAAAATTGACTTTTAAGTTGTCCGAAAGTCCCTGTACTCATAGTGCAGGGACATTGGCCAAAATTGAAAAGGAGAGAATTCTTTATTTCTATAACATTTCCTGATGCATTTATAAGTTTTTATGTTGCATAGAAAGTTTGAAATGATTCTGACTTCAATTTTTTAAGTTGCGGCCATTTTAAGAAAACATCAAAATTCTGAATAACACCTAAGGCTATAGTCTATGTTTTTTCCAAAAAAATGGCTCCGAAATCACCCCAAATTTTTATTGAATTTTCTGAACATGTACTTACATACAAGCTAACTGACCAATATTGTTATCATTATTTAAGGAACACTGATCATGGCAGAGATGATGTCCTTCCGGCCTGTCAGTTGACACTGAAGAACCTACAACTAGACTACCTGGACCTCTACCTGGTAATGTACTGTTGTTATTATTATTATTATTATTATTATTGTTGTTGTTGTTGTCGTTGTTGTTGTTGTTGTTTAGATTCATTGGCCACAGGCTCTTCCTAAAGGTTGTAAAGTAGCTTCACTGACCGAAGAGGAGAAGTTAGGATATAATGAGGAGAGCATTGCCCATTGCTGGGAGGTGTGTCTATTGTTATTGTTATTGTTTATTGTTATTGTTTGTTGTTTATTTATTAATTAATTTAGGGTATGGAGGAGCTGGTTGCCAAAGGTCTAACTAAAGCTATTGGTATTTCAAACTTTACAATAACAAAAACTGAAAACTTGTTGAAAACTGCAAAAATAATACCAGCAGTAAACCAAGGTGATATTAATGATTATTATTATTATTATTATTATTATTATTATTATTATTATTATTATTATTATTATTATTATTAATAGTTGAGTGCCATCCTTTCTTTCAACAGCAAAGACTTTTTGAATATTGTAAAGGAAAAGGTATTGAATAGACTATATTGACCACACCCACATTAATGAACTATACTGAACACACACACATCACTAGGTATTCAGTTTGAGGCCTACAGTCCGCTGGGTAACCCAGGGCGTCCCAAGAAAGGGGACGATGATCCTAGTGTGCTGGAGGATCCAGTCATCAATGACATCGCCAAGAAACACGGAGTGGGGCCAGCTATTGTGAGTGTACTAGTATCTGTGTTTGTTTGTTTGTTTGTTTATTTATTTGTTTATAGGTAGCGATCTCCTTTCAAATACACCGTGGTATAGTGGTTCTTGCTAAAACGGTTAATCTTGAACGAGTTAAAGAGAATTTAAAGGCAACAGAAGTGCAGCTGGACGCTGAGGACATGAGGAGACTGAGGGAGTTGGACAGGAACCTAAGGTTTTTGAGGTTTTTCATGTTACGTAACGACCAGACACTGGCCGACTTCTGGGACGAAGAAGCTGATAGTAAATTCACTATTGAAGAACCAACCAGCAAGAAAACCAGAGTTGAGCAGTAGTGACTAATAACTATTAATAACTGACTGTTAGTTTATTTTTGATAATTATTTTTTGGGCTGCTAAAGACTATTCGTTACTTTTCACTTTGAGATGGAAACTGTTACCTCATGTACTGGACTTGAAGGCAATAGTTAAGTAAAATTGTCATCTACTTCTGTCAGGTAAGTTATGTCTTGTAGAAATTTTGAATTGATTCTGATGAAAATCAATGGAGTTCACAGCTCTTGTTTGAATGACCTGTGTTATTATCATCCAATGATTTTAATTAATAATAATAATAATAACAATTATAAAATGAGAAATATTAAATAAGAATAATGAAACCCAATGCAGCAAAGGTTGGAGTGAGTCCATTCATTGGTTGGCATATATGTAGTACCAAAGTCTGAACTTTTCTAAGAATATGAAGGTCAGTACTGTATGAGGACCTAGTCTAGCGTAATACGGAGTGAATCCTTTCCATAAACTAAAGAAACCTTCTTTACGTATTAATTTAACCAACACATCCTGTAAACAAACAAACAAATAATTATAAATAATTAATAATAATAATAATAATAATGATAATGAGAAAACTCACTGCAGCTCCTGTGAATTCAGGGACACCATTGATTGTTTTCATATTTTGTATTCTACAGTAATTAATTAATTAATTAATTAATTAGATGAATCAATAAAGTTGATGTACACATACAGTGTATGTACCATACCCCATACTCCCTACCATACCCCATACCCCATACTCTATACTCCATACTCCATACTCCATACTCCATACTATACCCCATACTCCATACTATACCCCATACTCCATACTCCCATACCCCATACTCCCATACCCCATACCTTGTTTTAGAGATATCCACTGGCATTGATGCTATTGTAGTTACTAGACCACTGATCATACTGGAGACAAAATGACACTTGATGTCATCAACAAAATATGCTATAAACAATAATAATAATAATAATAACAACAACAATGGCTTACATGTTCCTAATAGTAATTGTTTTGCTTGTGAATAAGTCGTCAATTGGGCTACATTAACTACCATAGCACGTACTACTGTAGGACCACACCCCTAACAATAAACAATAAACAACAACAACAACAACGATAATAATAATAATAATAGTAATAATAATAATACTAATAATGGGGTATTACCCTCCACAGTGTTGCTATTCCTTCTTCCCTGGTGATGCGATACAGTGCATTGAAGACACTGGTGTACCCCCTCCTCTGCTCTGGGGGGAGGCGGCCATCAGACGTCATTCTAATTAAAGATATCTCAGCAGGAGTACCCACTACTGCCCCAGTACCACCTGCTACCACTCCAAACATCATCTTCTTTAAAATACCAGGAGGACTACCATCAGACCTAATAAATAAATAAATAAATAAATAAATAAGTAAATAGATAAATACTTTGTATATCTGTCCATTAACATTTGAAACACTCCCAGTCTCGTGGTGCTGTATGTGGCCTGCCTCAGTAGACCAGCAGATAATCTAATAATAATAATAATTATTATAATTATAATAATACAATAATAATAATTATTATTATAATTACAGTACATACCCATTATAAACTGCAAATATTCCTTCATTTCGAACAATTCTACTTAAAACATGCAATGAAGTTTTATGCTCCTTCATTGAAGAACCAACACCTAATAAATATATAATGTATAAGTATCAAAAAACGTAAAAAATTGGCGTAATTTCGGAGCCATTTTTTGGAAAAAACCATGGGCTATAGCCTTGGGTATTTTTCAGAATTTTGGCATTTTCTTAAAATGGCCGTAACTTGAAAAATTGAAGCCGGAATTGACTCAAACTTTCTACACAGCATAAGGACATCAATATGTATCAGAAAATGTAATAAAAATTTGCGGTGATTTTGGAGCCATTTTTTGGAAAAAACCATGGGCTATAGCCTTGGGTATTTTTCAGATTTTTGGCATTTTCTTAAAATGGCCGTAACTTGAAAAATTGAAGCCGGAATCGGCTCAAACTTGCTACACAGCATAAGGGCATCAATATGTATCAGAAAATGTAATAAAAATTAGGGGTGATTTCGGAGCCATTTTTTTCACGCTGTCATGCTTTTTTTTCATGCTTTTCAGTTCATGCTGTGCCTGATCATATTAATTTTGGCATTTCCTTAAAATGGCCGTAACTCGAATAATTAAAGTGAGACTAATGACACTGTTTCTTACCACTTAATTGCATTCTATTCTTAACAAGATCCAAAGGCTGTACAAAGACCGTAGCAGTCATTCTAATAATAGTAACACAGTGATAATGTATTATATTGCTGGTATGCATTGTTACCCTGCGAGCCCTCCTAGTGCAAAGTTAACTTGTCTTGGTATTGCCCCTGGCGGGACTCGACTCTTGGGAGATGCTGCAGATATTGTTCTACTGTCGGCCATTTTGAGGTAACACCCACCAACCGATCACGTGACTTCATCAAACAATGTGTGGGTGTTAAAAATTAAATGTATTAAAGCAAAAAGTAGCAAAAAAATTAATAATGAGAATAGTTGCAATAAAATAGCAAGTAAGAGCAGCGTAGGGTCCCTGTACTTAAAAGTGTGCAATAAAACAATATCAATAAAGAGCAGCTGTGGCCATCACTTCCAATGGGCCAACGTCTCCAGCATCCATGTGACAAGAATAGACCCAAAGTATAACAAGAACACTGGAATAACTAGCAGTAGCTAAGAGAGAGAGAGAGGAAGGGGTTTAAAGACACACTATAAACTATAGTTACCATGTAAGTATGCTTGTAGAGGAACCCATAAGACAGGGCAATGGCTGCCATTATGAGCTGGACAAGAAGGATGACAGTCACTTCAGCTGAATATTGCCATGTCAATCCTCTGATACCAACCAGTGCAGTGAATATACCAAGACACAGGGTGTTGTTCATTGTAGCTGCTCCATACAACTGTATGTGGATTTATTAATTACTATTAGTTATTATTAATTAATTAATTACTTGTGAAAAGGTCATTGATGTGTTAACCTTCTTCTTCTTTGATGCAAAAATAAGAGAAGAAACCAACTCACTGGCATTGGAACACAATGGGGTGATGACAAACGACAAATAGAACACTATCAGGCCATTAATAATAATCAGTAATCATCAATAATCAATTATAACCAATAATCATCAATAATCCATTACCAGGTATTGGTATGTACTGTCCTTGTACTTTGTGTCCATCATCCTTAGTATAAGAATAGTTTTCATTCTCTTTATTGACAAGACGAGTTAATGCATCCACCATAGGATCAGAAAATATTGTCACCTAATAAATAAATAAATATATAAATAAGCAAATTAATTAATTAAGGGACCAATCCATTACCAGTCCAACTCCGACTATGAGATAAGCTGCAGACCAAAGACCAATCTTCCATTTTGGTTCTTCACCCTAATTAGAGGGTGTGGCTAATAAGTAAATTAGTGGGTGTGGTTCATTACCTCTTCATGGTCTCCTTTAGTATCAACCTCATCTTCAGCCGCTGGACTGGCAGTGGGTGTGGCTCCCTCCTCCTCTTTCTTGTGAACTTTCCAAGCGCTGAAATATTTCTTTTGAATTCCAGTCTCAGATCCTAACCAATATTCAATTAATTACTTCATTAATTAATTAATATTCATACTGTACCTATTAATGGTTTGTTCTCAGTTTCCCCCCCACTGGTTCCTGAACCATTGACTGGTTTGGGTGATTTTTGAAACAGTAGCATCTGTTTCAAAGCATTCCTCTTTAAACTAACAAACAACAACAACAATAAACAACAACAATAAACAACAACAATAAACAACAACAATAAACAACAACAATAAACAACAACAATAAAGAACAACAATAAACAACAGTATATTATAATGTGTACTTTTCTTTCCTTCTCTTCTCTCCCCTCCATTCATCAATCCTCTTGGAGGCAGCACTGAAGACCACCAGGTAGACCAGGTAACACACAAAGAAGATGAAGCAGATCACTGAAGTGGCAATGGCTGAATATTTAATATAAGAAGGGACATTATCAATAGTCTGAGGCTTATGAGCACCATAGACCCAGTCAGCTCCTTGAATAATACTGTGGGTACATTATAGATTAGATTATAAAATAACTATATTCCCCTTACAGGTAGGGTAAAGCAGTGATTATCATTATAATAGAACTGTATGTGACATCAGGTGTGACACTGACTCCCTGTAATAGATATGTACTGACTAACCACACCCACAAAATGGCGGATACACTTACAGACTTCCAAAGACTAGACACCTCCAGTTTCGAACACTTATTGTCCACTCCTTGTTTATTAATGATGTCAACCCTACCCAGGATGAGCCCACCGACCCAGGGGATGGTCAATAACATGATGGTGCTCCCAGCCAGTGTCCTATATCAAACAACCCATACAGTAACTAATGGAGTATCAGTATGTGTAGCTGTACCCCATTCCCACTGCTATCTGTTGGTCAGCATCAACTCTATTACCAGACCCTGAAGCTATGATCATGGCTGAATCAGGAACAGCACCCAGCAATGGAAGAACAATGCCACCTAATGAATAACGTTAATAATAATAATAGTAATAATAATTAATAGGAATAACAGGACAGCAGCATGTGAAGAGCATGTGCACAAACAAACAGTAGAGATATTACAAGCTGTTACTATTAATAGAGCCTGTTACCAATTATAGTAGGAGGTAGTCCAAGATCAAGTAACATTTCAGCTCCGTCTAAAAATAAATTAATCAATTTCTTTCAGCCACTCCCTCCTCCTCATATTACCTGATATGATCTTAGCAGACACACCCAGGATTATACCAAAAAATAATATCAATTGAATGTTTCCAATAATCTAGATAATGATGATAGTAATAATGATAAATGGAATTTATTGTCACTTACAGTAACTGAACATGGCTCCAATCCAAACACACATGTCTATAAAAGAATAATAACTTGAAAAGTGAAGACTGTTAACTTACCGGAATTGAACCTGAATCAGTCTAAAGTAAAAGATATACATAATAATATTAATGTTATGTTGTAGGTTATACACTCATTACTGTACAGGTACATTTCAAGCAGGTACTTACCCCATTGGTATCATTAGTCTGTGGATAAACAGATGGGAATATTATGTACATTAAATGTGCTAATACTTACTATATTACTGTTATCTTGCTGAGGAGGAGAGAAAAGTATAAGATAAATTATTTATTTACAATCAGTCACTTACTTCACCAACAAACTGTTGAGAGAGAAGGTTAAATTAATTAGATTAAGGTTAAAGTTAGTTTAAACTCACAATATCAAAGTAATGATGGCCCTGGCTCAGAGCAGGTGAGACAGCAGCCACTAGTATCCCCAGGAAGAGGATCAGTTTAAGGAAAGACATGCCACCAGCCCTTGCCCTAACTTTACTGATAGCTGCCATCTTTGCAATTTTCAACACTCCTACTGAGCATGCGCAGCAAAACTCCCGGGCTAGTCCGGGCTTCAATGAATAATCATTAATTTCATCAATCTTAATGTAAATGAACTGAAATTACAATACACTAATTATTCTATTCCTTTTCTTCTCTCTTCTTTAATAATATCTTCTTCTTCCAGTCAGGAAGTGCATCAAACTTCTCTTGTTTTTCTCTCTCTTCTCTCAGCCTTTCCTTCTCAATCGCTCTTTGCTTTGCCCTGAAGGAGTGGAGCAGATGATGATAGAGTCCAGTTGTGTATGTATTGCTGGTACCTTTGCTCTTCTTTCTTCATTAGTATCTTCTTTTTCCATTCTGGTACATCAGCATACTTATCTTCAGCAGCAGATTCATCCTAACATTGCATCACCATAGTTACAATTGTTATCATTTTATACTTCATTTTTGTGCTTTGCTTGTTTCTGTTCTTCTTCTTTTTGTCTTTTTCTCATCAAGTTCCTCTTCCATAAAGGTACTTTACTGTCTCCATCATCAGATCCAGCAGTTCTCCCAATGGCAACTCTATCAGAACTGGTCTGTGCTACTGTAACCCGCTCACCAGAAACTAGAAGAGGAGATTCAGGAACAGGTCCTTGTACTTGAGTCTTGATAGCAACTGGTGGCTCCTAATAATTGAAGTACCTCCTCATGTTGCATACAACACATGTGTACATGCTTACACTTTCTCCATTTGTTTGTAAGATTTTTCCATATTTAAACTGTAAATAATACATCGATACAATAATAATAAGCAAAATGGGCTAACTGGTTGCAAGTTCCTCTTTAGTAGAGGTGTGTTTGATAGAACGGATTTATCAAATATTCTCACTTCTTCCATTAGTAGTGGATTCTGCATTTTCATTCCATCCTCATCCACCTCAGCTAACAACCAATCATACTTTATTATAGCAATAATTCATTCCATACCTTCATATTCCATTCCTTTAACGGTCACAGGGTTGAGTTTCTTGAATGCACTGCTCAGTTCATTTTTGCTTTCCTTTACATTAAGAGAGTTAGTTGACTTCTTTACGTTATTGAAACTGGCCACTCCATCAGTTGTGCTAGTGTCTTGTTTACTGCTACTTGTTGTTGCTGTTGTTGATTGTTTATTAACTTCAAGTACTGAATTGACTAATGATGCTGAGAATGGCTCAGTTGAATCAGAGAGCTTAATCTAGTGTACAGTAATTAAAAATGTCTATAGCATAATGTTCTTATACTTGAATTTGTTTGACTGGTTTCATGGGAACATTAGAAAGGTAAGCAGCACATTCGTTGTAATTGCAATCTTCAGCTAGATCAGCAGGAGTAAGACCATCGCTATCTCTAACATTAGGATCAGCTCCATAGGATATTAACAATTTAATTGCCTTCAAACAAATAGCATTATAACATGAAAATGCTTTTATTATAACAAACTTCAATTTGTCCATTCTCAGCAGCATCATGTAATGGAGTCCCTCCAAGATCATCCTGATCCATGCTAGCTCCATTATCCAGTAACCATTGTATAACATTAGTATGTCCTAATGATATTATTATTATTGTTATTATCAAAAAGAACTGGTACCTCTAGCTGCTGCATAATGTAAGGGAGTAGCTCCATCATTATCCCTTTCAGACACTGGTACCTTACACTCCTCAACCTGTTCAAAAATCAGTACATGTATATGCATCAGAAACTCTGTAATAACAAAGGAATTCCTCCTTTAAATTTTGGTAAAATTTGGCCAAAATTCCTGCACTATAGTACAGGGACTTATTTTGAGTTTGGAGCAACTGTAAAAATCATAAAAAAGCCAAACTTGATCGAAATCAGCACAAACTTTCTACACTGCATAAGTACATGTATATGCATCAGAAAATGTAATGAAATTGAGGAATTCTCTACTTGTCAATTTTGGTGAAATTTGACAAAAATCCCTGTACTATAGTACAGGGACTTTTGTCCGATTTTTGAGCAAATTAAAAAAATCATAAAAAATCCAAACTTAATTGGAATTAGCTCAAACTTCCTACACAACATAAGTACATGTATATGCATCAAAAAATGTAATAAAATTGAGGAATTCTTGACTTGTCAATTTTGGTGAAATTTGACAAAAATCCCTGTACTATAGTACAGAGACTTTTGTCCGATTTTGAAGCAACTTTAAAAAATCATAAAAAATTTAAACTTGATCGGAATCAGCTCAAACTTCTTATACATAATAAGTACATATATATGCATCAAAAAATGTAATAAAATTGAGGAATTCTCTACTTGTCAATTTTGGTGAAATTTGACAAAAATCCCTGTACTATAGTACAGGGACTTTTGTCCGATTTTGGAGCAAATTAAAAAAATCATAGAAAATCTAAACTTGATCATAATCAGCTCAATTTTTCTACACAAGATAAGTACATGTATATGCATAAAAAAACGTAATAAAATTGAGGAATTCTCTACTTGTCAATTTTGATAAAATTTTACAAAAATCTCTGTACTATAGTACTGGGACTTTTGTCCAATTTAGGACCAAATTTTAAAAAATTGTAAAAAATCTAAACTTGAACAAAATCAGCTCAATTTTTCTACACAACATAAGTACATGTATATGCATCAGAAAATGTAATAAAATTGAGGAATTCTCTACTTGTCAATTTTGATGAAATTTTACAAAAATCCCTGTACTATAGTACAGGGACTTTTGTCCAATTTTTGAGCAACTTTAAAAAATCATAGAAAATCCAAACTTAATTGGAATTAGCTCAAACTTCCTACACAACATAAGTACATATATATGCATCAGAAAATGTAATAAAATTGAGGAATTCTCTACTTGTCAATTTTGGTGAAATTTGACAAAAATCCCTGTACTATAGTACAGGGACTTTTGTCCGATTTTGGAGCAAATTAAAAAAATCATAGAAAATCTAAACTTGATCATAATCAGCTCAATTTTTCTACACAAGATAAGTACATGTATATGCATAAAAAAACGTAATAAAATTGAGGAATTCTCTACTTGTCAATTTTGATAAAATTTTACAAAAATCTCTGTACTATAGTACTGGGACTTTTGTCCAATTTAGGACCAAATTTTAAAAAATTGTAAAAAATCTAAACTTGAACAAAATCAGCTCAATTTTTCTACACAACATAAGTACATGTATATGCATCAGAAAATGTAATAAAATTGAGGAATTCTCTACTTGTCAATTTTGATGAAATTTTACAAAAATCCCTGTACTATAGTACAGGGACTTTTGTCCAATTTTTGAGCAACTTTAAAAAATCATAGAAAATCTAAACTTGATCGGAATCTGCTCAATTATTCTACAGAACATAAGTACATGTATATGCATAAAAAAACTTAATAAAATTGAGGAATTCTCTACTTGTCAATTTTGGTGAAATTTTACAAAATCCCTGTACTATAGTACAGGGACTTTTGTCCAATTTTGGACAAAATTAAAAAAAAATCGTAAAAATACAAATTTGAACAGAATCAACTCAATTTTTCTACACAACATAAATACATGTATATGCATCAGAAAATGTAATAAAATTGAGGAATTCTCTACTTGTCAATTTTGGTGAATTTTGACAAAAATCCCTGTACTATAGTACAGGGACTTTTGTTCGATTTTTGAGCCAATTAAAAAATTCATAAAAATCCAAACTTAATCGCAATCAGTTCAATCTTTCTACAAAACATAAGTACATGTATATGCATCAGGTAATGTAATGAGTTCCTCTGTAAGTACTTACCAACCAAACTAGGCAATCAAGTTTTCCCATTTGAGCTGTTGCATGCACAGGAGCCATGCCGTCAGTTGCACGCAACCGATGATTAGCATCAACCTATTAATAATGATAATAATAGTAATAAAATATATTAGTAAATTTATTACTTGATTTGCTAAATACTTTAAGCAGTCCAGATGACCTTCTTGAGCAGCAAAGTATAAAGGAGTTGCTCCATTATCTGCCCTTTTATTAACAGCACTGCAGTATGATACATAATAACTGTATAATGCTCCCAACATAAGTAGTTACCTTTTAGAATGTTGTGATATCCACCTAACAGTGTCAATGCTTCCCTTTGCTGATGCCAAGTGTAATGGAGTAATTCCTCCTTTAGCTTTATCAACTGGATCACAGCTACCTGATTCAACTAACCACATCACCACTGATACTTTATTGAATCTTGCAGCTATTATAATTATGATTTAATAATAGAAGAACATTAAGTAATAGATCTGTTCTAAATATCATACCAAGATGTAATGGAGTGGCAAATGAAGCATCCCTAGAGTTGGGGGAACAGCCTCCAAACTGAACGAGCCATTGGAGTGATTCCAGTTGGCCAGTAGCTGCAGCATCATGAGCAGGAGTGGCTCCATTATTAGCTGGTTTACTGCCACTCAGACCTTTGGACTGTACTAGCCAAGCAATAAGACCAGTTTTACCTAACAGCAAGTACAATATCCACAGAATGAGCTAGTATGATAAGATTACTTCCATAGCATTCAAGCTGCTATGCTACGGTGTATGTTCTTACCAGCTCTTGCAGCATAGTGTACTATACCAGCTCCATATCTATCAAGGAACCTAGTGAGGTCGTATTTCTTATTGGCCAGTCCCTCTAGAGAGGCCCTGTCTCCTTTTGTAGCGTAGCCTAGTCCTTGGTTGATAGTTGTTGTTGTCAACTCCATGATAATGGGTGGGGCTCCAAAATAAACTGGAGAATGCAGGGATATACGGAAACATCTACACTGATTAAAATCAATTAATTTTGATCGATCGAGCACACAAGAAAATGGATAATTTAAAGAATAACATTAACAGTGATCAGACTCTCTCAGTAATATTGTATTAATAATTGATGATGGGAGCAGCAAAGTATGTGTAATAATGTGTGTGTGTGGGTGCGGCCTAATAATAATAATAACGATAATAATTAATAGGAAGGTGGTTTCCTAGTCACACTCTTAATAGTAGCTAGTGTTTGGTTCTCTACAGTTAGTAACAGCTGCTCTTGATCAAACAATGTGTGTATTATTATTAATTATCTTGTTGTTGTTTATTGTTGTTGTTGTTGTTGTGGTTCTTCTTCACCATCATCATAATTATTAGACTGTTCATTCAGAGGCTCCTCAGACTGTATCTATTATTAATAACATTATTAATTAATTCATTATTAATTACCTGTCCATCATCATTCCTCCCGTTAGCTTGTCCCCTGGGGGGGCCCCCTCGACGACGATAAGGCTACATTAAAAATACAGTGAGTGGGTGTGGCTAATTGTTCTTACTCTTCTAGGTCGATATACTCTTGACCTGTTGTACCCGTTCCTTCCCTGAGCTTGAGGGGGCTCTCCCTCTCTCTCCCTTGGCTGCTCCCTAGGGGGCCCACGAGGGGGGCGGCGACCAGGAGGACGTCTATTAAATCCCTATCATAATAATTGTATAATAAATAGTAATAATACTTTATTTGACCTAGTACAATACAGTGTACATGTACACACAATACAGTACTGGTCTCTCCCACACTCACTCCTCCTTGGTTCCCTGTGTCTTGGGGTGGTCCCCTAGGTGGGCCCCGGGGCGGTCCCCTCCTGTAACCAAGGTTACGTGGGTAGTTCCTTCGCTGGGGACCACGTGGACGCCTCCTCTGGACCTGCTGAGGACTGTCTTCATTTTCTATCAAACAAACAAATAATTCATTTATTCATTAATTTATTAATTACCATCAGATGGTCCCCTTTCTTCCCCTTGGCTGTCTTGTCCCGTTGGCTGTTGTTGCACTCTCCTTCTGTTCCTCCGCCTGTTGTAATCACCTTTATCAGCTGTCAACAACAAACAAAAATAAACAACAACAACAACACATCATACACAACTTACGAGCATATTTGCTCCCCTGTACGTGTGCCCCATTGGGTCCGGTGACTTGAGCAGCTTCAGGTCCCTTGGCCCCCTTGATTACAATAAACTCAACCACTTCCCCATCTCCAACACTCCTCAGGTATTTCTTGGGGTTGTTCTTAATGATGGCAGTCTGATGAACAAATATATCATCCCCAGTGTCATCCCTACAGAGACAGAAACCATGTACATGTATATTGTCTCCTAGGCTAAATAAAAAGCTGAAAAATGGGAGATTTCAGGAACCTAGACCAAATATGGGAGACCCAAAGTCCCCCAAACCACCCCTCCAGATCTACCAGTGATTACAATAAAGTGGGCCCATCTCTTGTGTCTCCAGTTTCAGGAGGTGTGCTTGTCAGGAGGTGAGTATGTACAACAATGACCACAATATGATAATAAAGGAGAGGCAGAAAAAGGGGCGGACTAACATATTCACAACAAGTATTTTAACAATGAGCAACTATTCATCACTGTAATAAATCTAATAATAAATATTAGTATTATTATTGTTATTATTATTGTTTGTGTGTTGCTATGGTGAGTTACCTCTTGATGAATCCATAGCCACTTCTAACGTTAAACCATTTCACAGTCCCTGATATTATATTAGCTAATCAATAAACAATATGAATAATAAATGAACATATTAACACTTAACAACTCTCTCACTGGTCACTGTGCGGCTTTGATCAGTTTGCTGTTGTTCTTCTCCGTCACTCATAATGGCCGCTGATTGATGGTAGCTGTAGATGGCAGAGAGAGAGAGAGGACGAGAGAGAGTGTGTCTTCCTCTTTAACTCAGTCCCTGGTCGATGTGATGGCCTCCTCTGGACGGGATGGTCTGCTTCTGTTGGTCCGTGACACCTTTTTATACATACCGGAAATTTATCAGTCCTAATTATTCGTAAGAAATAATTTCATTACAGTTCACGACTAGACACACCCCCTAACTCCTTCAAAATGGCCGATAAGAATGAGAAGGCCCAAAGCTCACTGGATTGTCCTTTCTGTGAGTCAAAAGTAGAGGAAGAGTCAAGTATAGCTACTGATCTCCGTATACTAACTCGTTTACGTTTGAGTATTCCCGTAAAATGTGCAATGGCCAGTAATGGGTGTGGCTGGGAGGGTGAGTTGCCGCAGATTTGGGAACATTTCTCATCATGTTCCTATTTCCCTCGTCCGTGTCCATTCAACTGTGACCCTAACGTGTACATGCCGAGGGACATCCTCAAGATCCACTTGCAGGAGAAGTGTCCATTGAAGAGTGTGGCCTGTGAGTACAAGTGGGCTGGCTGTGAAGCTAATTTATGTCGTAAAGAAATGGCGTCACACATGAAGGAGTGTGTCCTCCTTCATAATGAGCTACTGGCCAAAGCTGCCAAGAACTATAGATCACAAGTTAGTTTATTACAAGCTGAGATTGATCAACTCAAGGGGGCCAAGACCGTTGAATCTCCAGCTCAGGAAAGTAAGTAATTTATTGACAAGTAGAGAATTTGTTTCATTTTCTGTTGCATATACATGTACTTATGTTGTGTAGAAAGTTTGAACTGATTCCAATCAATTTTAGATTTTTTATGATTTTTTAAAGTTGGTCCAAAATTGGACAAAAGTCCCTGTATTATAGTACAGGGATTTGTGCCAAAAATTTGCCAAAATTGACAAGTAGAGAATTCTTTATTATTTCCTGGTATTATGATTTATTTTTCAGATTATTCTCCTTCTAAAAAGCGTAAAGTTACCTTCAGTCAAAGCACTGACATTATCAACGGAGGGGCAGTGTCTGAGCCTGTCCAGCTCCAGCACGAGAACATGCAACTAGTAACCCATTCTGTTACTGTGACCACACCCACCACTCCTTCACCAGCTGGTACTAGGCAGCTACTCAATAAGCAGAGGCCAGGTAATGAATTAATAATGATATTAAATTATTCATTTATAATTATTTCAGGAGGTGATATATTTCTCTCCCCTATCATTGGATATGCCAATGACATGAATAAGAAGGAGAAACAGTGTCCTCCTTTGGTCTGTCGTTATATCAAATCTGATTGGAGGACGCTAATGATCATGTGTCAGTCATGTGACACGTGGTATCACTCAATGTGTGTTCATCTAGTGAACAATAAAGTGAGGGATATGACTGAATTTGTATGTCCGTCTTGTAAGAAGATTAACAATACTATTAATAATTAGTTATTATTTTTTGCTAATAATTAATTATTTTTTCTTTCAGTATACACACAATCTCTAAAACAAAGTTAAAATGTTACCTATTATTAATGATAATTATGTTCTTTATAATTATTATAATTAAATTCATTTATTTATGGCTTCTTTGGCAGATATGCTTCTTTGCTTGTAAAGATCTTTGTCATAGTCAAACTTGAGGTCGATGTATACTTCTTCTTCAAGGGATCCATAGTTTAACGTCATGTGCCTGTGACTAGCAAAATCATCAGGAGTGAATGTATTGGACAACCTGTCCTTATCTAATAAGATAATAGAACCAGTGACAGTGTTCTATTAATAGACCCAGTGTTCTATTAATAGACCCAGTATTAGTATAATGGTAATAATAATAGTAGAGTAGTGGAGTGGAATGGTATACGTAGTCTGATACTCACTGATCAATCCTAGTTCTTGGTAAGTGTGTGCTATTAGTTCACTGCAGAATATTGAGCTGAGGTCTTCATGGTCAGTCCTCAGGAAGTCAAGGTATCCTTCATCAACGTCAATTCCTGACATTATCAACTCCAAATGATTCTTCTCATATGGTCTACCTTGCAACTCTTTACGGACCTGAGGAGACAGAGAATCACAATATTATTAGTATTAAATTGGTACAACTCTCAATTAGGTTATGCTGTACTTGTAACATCTTCTCATATATCTCCTGCCTTTGTTCACTAGTTAAACCTGTGAGGCGTCTAATGGCTACCCTATTGTACCAGCCTGAGAATATCTTGTTTCTCAATGGAAGGAGTTCAACTCCTTTCCTAACGCTGCCGCTGTCGACATCTACCAAACCTGCTTTATTGGTGCTTGACTCCCACACTAAGACATAACTGGAATATCTGGGACGCAATACCTACTCGTACAATAATAATTAATTATCAATTGGTTATCAATTGTTCTTACTAGGCCCACATGAGAGAAGACTGCTCCGTCAAATATTTTAATGAGGGCTCCTGAACTAGTCGCTCCAGAGAAGAGCACAATGTCACCAGTTTGTAGCTGATCTCTCATCTCACCATAGGTCTTGATGGGAAACTCTGGAGGATGACGAATACCATCACTATTGATAATAATAATAATAATAATGATACCTACTGATGGATCATCAGTACTGTACTTACACTAATTGTGATAGCAATGGAGGGGTTCCTCCAATTAATGGCCCAGGTTTATAAGCTGGTAGCTTTATATAAATAGGAAATGCTAGAGGTAGTGCTTCTTCAAATGTGTCTGGTCTAATGTCTATTGGATTAGCCAGCATTATCCCTAACTCCCGGTATACGTGAGAGAGGGCAAAGGTGCACGTGTAGAGGCTCCTCTCAGTGTCAGTTGCTGCTTCATTGATGAACATTATTTCCTGAGAAGTAAATGGAATCTCTTCTTCAACTTTTGTGGCTGCTTCCATAGCCTGACCGCAGCTAATCTTCTCCCCAGCCTTCAGTCTACGGATAGCAACTCTCTCATAATCTCCATAGAATATTCTAGTGACTGCGGTGATGACTCTAACATCACGTTGGGACGGATTGAAAGAGGACAGAGGCATCGGTTTGGTCTTTCCTTTGATTAGCAGCAGAGGGAAGTAAGGATCACACTCACCATGATTAACAAATATCCCGTAGTTTGGCTGCTTCTCTCCATGCCTGTACAACAGTGCCAGGTCACCAGTGGCCAGTGAGTCCTCGATATCCCGAAACTTGACCAGAGGAATCTTTTGTTCAACAATCAAACTATCAGTTGGAGTGGATTGTGTACTGTCCCTTCGGTCCGTGGCTCTAATTCGCTTTATCTCATCAATACTTGAATCAACTGACCCTTTCCTAGCTCCACGGACTCTTCCTTCAGGATCAAGAGAATGAACTGGTAACTTCTCCTCCTGTTGCTGCTCTATTGTTTCCTCGTGTCTTTCTTGAGCTACCTCAGGGGGTACACCAGTATCTACTGGCTCTTTTGGGAAGCTAGGCTCAACCACTGGTTTAGAACAACAGCTACCCATGCTCCTCCTGGATCTGAAAGGAAGAGACACGGTACGAGTTTATTAAACAATGCTTCAAGAGCCAACTGCTGGAGATAAACAACATTTAATAGAGCTTACCCGGATAATAGACTGGGGTATCTTGAGAAGTGTTTGATATTCAATACTAGCGACTGAAGGAAGGATAGTGAAAGAGGCCCTCCAGTTAGTTCAGTGGATTCTATTCCTGCTGTTAGTATGGGACCAGAACGAACAGCCAGGAGGTAAAACAGCAGACAAGAGAAGAGAAGGCTGGCTCTGTTACTGGAGGATAGGCTTTTCTGTTTTATAAACAAAGATATAAATGGAGACAATATCTCCCTAACCACAACGAGCATAACAAGGCAAGGAATGAACTGGCATTCTTGCTATCTGATCCTTAAACTCATAGCAACTGAGATGTAATGATGATGTAATCATTAATGACATCATATGACATCACAATTGACACAATCAACTCAAGCTTTAGAAAAACTTCCATTTTTACATAAATGGAAAGTACATTCATTATGAGAAAATGTAATAAGAATTCTCTTTTAACAATAAGTGATTACAATTGTTAATTATTATGGTTATTATTTTTCTGATCCAATTCTTGCTAGTTCATCAGCTCTCTCATTACCATGGTCACCAGAATGACCTTTGACATGTTTCTAAAACAATGAAAATAATAAATTTAATAACAATAACAAGCAACTTACCCAAATGACATTGATTTGTTTAGATAATGCCAATATATTCTTTATTTCATCTTTATTTTGAACAGGAGATCCATCCGTTACCTTCCACCCATTTAATTTCCACTTATGACACCATTTAGTAACAGCTGGTAATTAATTGACATTATTATTATTATTATTACCATTATCTTACCATTAATGGTGTACATACTATCTGTTCTTATTTCTATTGTCTTCATCTTTCTTCGTATTCCAGTTTCAATAGCTCTTGTAGCAGACTATGCCAAAATTAATAATAAAATTACAATATCAAGGAATGAGTAATTACCAGTAATTCTGCTCTTTGATTGGTTTGCTTGCCTGACAATCTTTCACTAACATTCCTTTTAATAACACATGTATATGTATCAGGAAATGTAATAAAAATTTGGGTGATTTCGGAGCCATTTTTGGGAAAAAGCATGGACTATAGCCTTCGGTATTTTTGAAATTTTGGGCTTTTCTTAAAATGACCGTAACCTGAAAAATTTAAGTAGGGATCATCTCAAACTTTCTACAAAGCATAAGTACATGTACAATTGTACATGTATCAAAAAATGTAATGAAATTGAGATGAAATATTCAATAGTTTAACATCAATTAATTGTCCTACCAGATACTATTTTCTTCCCAGTATACTCCTATTCCAGCTCTAGCTCCTGTTTTACCATTTCTATAGCAACTGCCATCAGAATAGACAACTGGTATTGGTCCACTTGTGTGTACAGCAACCGACTGTGAGCCAGACTCGCTGGGGTAAGTGCCATACCCACTTGAAGAGGTACCACACCGGCTGGCCCTGTTATAAGGATTGTATCTTCCTGTTTGATGGTATTGTGTCCTTGTTACTAGTATCAATGGATTATTAATAGACACACTTTAGAATATTTACTGGGACCAGTAATGAATGATTCTGCTTCTTCTAATGTTGGGAATTTCTTAAAGACTGGTCTTGAAAATCCATCAACCTGTTCCCTGCAATCCTTCCTGCATTAATAATAATAAAAATAAATACAATATTAATGTTACCAGGTGTGATATATTCCAGTTTTTCTTCCTCTTTTCACTGCATAGTAAGCTGCCATTCCCATTAAGGGACCAGACCAATGAGCTGACCATGAGATGTCACGTGACTGGTTATCAATAGTTCTTAAGTTATCACGTGATCCCATATTAGTGGTTAGTCTATTGCATATTGATATCAGTGTAATGGGCGTGTCCGGATATTAAATTGGTATTCGGCACTAGCCTATCTTCTATCCGAGCTTCTATCTTCCTGGTATTCAGTTCTTCTCTTCTGCTGGTAGTGTTGCTACCTCTTGTAGGTAATCCTCGCTCTCTTTGTTCCACCTCCTCCCATTTTGTGTTTGGGTTCTCTCTCTTCCCACCATCTCCAAGTGAGGATAGCACTATTAGCAAGTCATATCTGTTAATATTCTAATGCTGCCACATTACCTCTCCTTCCCCCTTGAACAGGATGGGCAAGACTAACAGTAAATTACGTCCTGAGGTGGTCCAGGATCTGGTGAGTAACACTCAGTTTGATGAGGAGGAGGTACAGGAGTGGTACAAGGGATTCTTAAAGGTATTCACAATCCTTTTCATTATAATATTTACTCATTTCTTTGTTTGTTTGTTTGTTTGCAGGATTGTCCAAACGGTCATTTAAGTGTTGACGAATTTAAAGTCATTTATTCTAATTTCTTTCCTCATGGAGACGCCTCGAAATTTGCTGAACACGTTTTCCGAACCTTTGACTCAAACGGAGGTACAGACAGTATCGTAATCATTAGCGTGTCAAGTGTCTCTTTAATTGTAGACGGGAGCATTGACTTTCGTGAGTTCATATGTGCCCTCTCAGTGACCAGCAGAGGCTCACTCGATGAGAAGCTCAAGTGGGCCTTCAACATGTATGACCTTGATGGGGACGGGTCGATCACTAAGGAAGAAATGCTTGAGATTGTACAGGTTAGTTAGTGTATGTCAGGCTACTCATCCTGTTTATTTAGCAACTTCCTTTTACATTAAAAACAATATTATGTTGTAATATTGCAGGCAATATATAAAATGGTCGGCACTGTCATGAAGATGCCTGAGGACGAAAGCACACCACAAAAAAGAACTGACAAAATCTTTAGACAAATGGACACTAATAAAGATGGGAAGCTGTCACTAGCAGTAAGTCTAGCACACACACACACACACTGTATGTGTACTGTATGTATGTGTGCCGTGTAACAGAATGTTATGTACACAATGGCATAATATGAATGGAATTTGGCAATTGATGTACTCCTAGTGATGTTACTCCAATAAATCATTATTTATTATCATTTTATTGCTACTTGTACACTAGGAGTTTATTGAAGGAGCTAAAACCGATCCATCAATCGTACGTTTATTGGAATGTGATCCTAGCAGTGGCCAAGGGGCTGCTCCTTAAATAATTAATAATTATAATTAATTGTTGTTGTTCTGCCTTTTCACACATTACAAAGCTTATTTACTTTCCTTTTGTTAACAATAAAATTAAGATACACTAGCTGAGCTTTATTAATACTAAATGAACAATAATTTATTATCATTATTGTTGTTGTTATTATTATGTGTTTTGAAATAATAAAATCTGAAGACAAAATATTGAACCCACGAACTCTAAAACAGTGTCCTTGAATTAGAGGTGAGGGTGTCATCTCTTGTGACGTCGTGACCTCCTCGCCTGAGAGAATGCTTCCAGCAGGTGCTTTGAATTGACTGCTATGATGTTCGCTGATTGGAGCATCTGCTTCTGATAATGATCCAAGAGGAAGGACTGGTAATTCTCCTGTAACTCCTTCATTGACTTTACCAGTTGAGTCATGTCAGAAGACAAGACTTTGTGAGCCATTTTAACCTACAAAGAAGTACAGTAAGCATTGTATCATTGTTAAATCTAGACTAATTTCAAAAGGAGACTTAAGGAGACCTAGACCAAATTATTGATAGTTACTTTGGAGTGAGTGTGTTCAGGAATCATATCAAGTGATGAATCAACTTTGACCAACAACTGTCTCAAAGAAACACCAACACCCTATCAGTAATAACAATAATAATAATAATAATAAATTAATTTTATGGTCACAAGAGGTAATGCTCATACTTTGACAAGGTCAACATAGTCCCCCGGTCTAGCAGCAGGTAATTTGGTGCTCAGCTCCACAATGGACTGGACCACTCCAGTAGTACAGGCTAACAACTCTTCCAATACAGAATCATCATCCTCCTCCTCCTCCTCTTCTGAGGCCACACCTCCTCCACCTGAAGCCACACCCACTTCCTCTGGGTCTTCGTACGGTGAAGGATCTCTAACGTTTCTATTTATAGAATCTTCTTCAATATTACCAGAGTATACAGTTGAATAGTACCCATCGGAACCGGGCTGCTGTTCCTCGTTGTCATAGTAACTGCCCCTCGTCTTTTGTTGTTGTCTAATTATTGCCGGGGGCGGTACAGGAGAGAAACACCTCTCAGAGACACCAGGACTGACAACCTGAGCCAATGGGGGTGTGGTCACTATAGGAGGAGTGGCCCCTCTAGCTGGAGGAGGTGTGGCTCCTCGTCCTGGTAGTGTAGTCACTAGATAAGGATCAACTGTAGAGTCTGAACCTAATTAACAGACCACACCCACCAATGAATATTAATTGGACCCACTGTTGTTCTTACCGTTAGTACGTGTCTTCCTGGTTGGTTCCGGAGGGAGTGGTCTATTCAGTACTGACCTTGGAGGAAGAGGAGGTCCTTCAGTAGAACCATCATCCGATCTATAAGTACCTACTGGCCCTTCAGTACCACCTAGTCTCTCAGTAACTGGAGGGGGTCTGTCATGAGGGGGCCTTTCATGAGGGGGTCTGTCATGAGGGGGCCTGTGGGCTCCACCAGAAGGAACTCGTCCTATTGGAACATGTGGGCGGTCAGGTACTTCGTAACCACGGATACGGCCTGAGACAGCAAGAGCATTGAAATGCTTTTCTTGCTCCAGAATAACACTAATAATAAATAAATAATAATAATAAATAAATAATAATAATAAATAAATAATAATAATAATATAATAATAATAAATATAATAAGAATAATAGAATTATTGGCATTATAAATATTAATGGTTTGGTATTAGAAACATGTAAAGAATGTTACCATAGTTGCTGTTCAATGTCAGTGAATGACGGTCTCTCCTCCGGCTCATACTGCCAGCAGTGGTTCATTATATTGAATAAAGATGGAGGACAGTCGGGAGGTAGTGGTAGTCTCTCTCCTCTCTCCAGTTTACCAATGACCTCATCATTCTTGATGCTCATGAATGGCTTCACCCCCCTCATTAATATCTCCCAGCAGCAAACACCAAACATCCAGACATCACTTGAGCCAGTGAATCTTCTGAAGTTGATGCTTTCTGGGGCCATCCATTTGATTGGTAGTTTACCTCGAGATGCTAGCGAATGATAATGTTGTAAATTCATTAATAATATTTATTAGTCCATTGCCAAGAGTAACTCACCGACATAGAAATCAGCTTCTTCAAGCCAACGGGATAGGCCAAAGTCTGACAGTTTAATCTTGTCAGGAGAGAGTAAGAGAATATTGCGAGCTGCTATGTCACGATGAACATAATTCTTTGATTCTAAATGGACCATGGCAGAGCACAACTGCTTAATATAATTCAAGAGAATATCTTGACTGATGGATTCACCATTTAGTAATAGATACTGTCTCAGCTACATTGAATACATATCATTATTGTAATGATTATAGCATGTATCATTAAACAGGATCAATAGGTTACACTTCTCACCTGCCCCAACGGTGCTAATTCCATTACTATATATGTCCTCAGACCTTGAGTCACGACACCAAACAACTTGACAATGTGAGGATGATTGAATTGCTTCATGATAGCTAGAGAAAGAATACAACAATGCTTAGATGAGTTGTTGTGACTGTCAATAACAATTACCAGCTTCCTGGAGGAACTTGACTCTTTCCTCTGGAGCTGAGTCTGGCTTACAAGTTTTAACTGCCACAGCTACCTCCTCAGTAGTCTAAACAACAACAATAATAAAAGATTACACAACATTAGGTACATGTATACTCACATCAGGGTATAGGATTCCTTTATGGACATCTCCAAACTGACCCTCTCCCAGTCTGTCGGCTAACATTATATCAGTCGGACTCAGCGGACGACCCAAAGACTTCATTAGTCTGTCAGGATCCTTCACGTGAGCATAATCATCATCATCTGGAATTGTAACAAATAAATAAATATATAAATAGACTAATTAATAATTATTAATAGACTGTGCATTCTACCTGAACTAGCATTATTAATATCATCCTCACTAAAGCAATGTCTATTACCAATACTAGCAGGATTGTAAGGAACAGGGACCCCTCCTTTATTCCACTGGTCCTCCTCCAGCAGTGAAGAACCATCTTTATGATCATTAATATCAGTACAGGAAGCAGTCTGTCTTATCACTGGTTGTACAGTTAAAGAAGGACCAGACACACTGTCCAGTCGCTGGTATACTGGAGTGGGACCATGGGCCAGGAGAGAACAACGGTCCACTGGGGACTGGTCTACTGGTAGAGGAGACTGGTCTACTGGTAGATGGTCCACTGGTGTGTCCTGTACTGTAGAGTGTCTGTTCTTCAATAAACTGTAGAGTCCCGAGGCATCAGTGTTAGCCCTACTCCTCCTCTGGGCTGATTCTTCATTCGATGGTACGAATATAAAGGAATCAGCGTACTGCAGTGGCCCACGACGGCCTCCACTGCCAGAGGTTCCTTCTCTGTGTCTTCTACCTCTTCTCTTCTTATCCCTAGGGACTCCTCCTCCAGTACTGTCACCGCCAGAAGAAGAAGAAATGAATTTCATGAAAGAATCAACCCAGCGGACAGACATCATGAATGGGTTTACTACACTAATTTCTACTCAGGACCATAAACTACCAAAACATTAGAGGCCACACCTACTATCTACCACACCCACCAATCATTAATAACACCCACTCTTGCTGATAGTATTACCTGATTTGGTGAATTCAACTGGTAAATTTGGAGCCATAATTGATGCAGGAGGTTCAACAGGTGCTCCCCTTGCTGCTAGTAATAAATATCATTATCTAGAGTGGTTTGCTATTACCCATTCCATTGGAGAGTCTTGAATGAGGCAGTGTAGTATAAACCTGACAGTATCCATCAATCAGCGTGGAGAGATGAACTGCTGTTATTAATTGAGCAGTCCGTATTACTATGGGCTTTAATTAGAACAAGGAGTGTAATCACAATCGTATTTATTGTAATCAAATCAGCTCAGAATGTAACAAGTACACAATGGGGAGTAGAAAGAAGCTAGTAATTGTATCTTTGGCAAAGTTTATCAAAATTGTGTTAGGAGCAACTTCACAGTTTTTTTATATTTTCTGACACATACATTGTTGCTATGAGCTGATTCAAGATAAGTTTGTCCTACTACACTCACCGAACTGGTCTTCAGTTCTAAAGTAACCTTTCCTCTTGTAGCTAGCTCTGGCTCATAAACTATACCATGAATATCATTAAACGATACCAAGAACTTTCTCTGTAGAAACATAAATAATGAAAATAAACACAATAGTACAAATACTTCTCCAGTGGCTTCAATTTGATATTCAACTTCACAGTTTGGACCAACAAACACTACAGTAGTTAATGGAGTACTGGACTCCTCCTATTGAAATAACGATAATAATAATAATAATAATAATAATAATAATAATAATAATAATAATAATAATAATAATAATAATAATGATGATGATGATAAGTAACATACTCCAATGGCACAATTATGAAACTTGTCAATGTCCAGAGGATTAAAACGTCCCAAAATTGCAAAGAACTGAAAAATGCAGCCATCACTAGTAAGGCTTTCGTATTGTTGAAAAGTTGATTGTATCATTTTTGATAAATTCTTTTTCTATAATAAATGAAAAACGAACAATATTAGTAATAGCAGGCAATACCTTGCTACGAGCTGACTGCAAAAACGACTTCTTGAAGAACTTTTCAAAACCATATTCTTTCCTAAACAGATAAAGAAATGAAACTAAAAATTACCAGTGGGCATACTCCAGCATGTTAATGTTCTCCTTCTTCTTGAGGGCAGTCTGTGACATGTCCCTAAAGAACCTCCTCATTTCTAGACAACCTAACCTCAAGGCAGTGTCATTATCAACTGCTATACTGTCATCCTCGAGGTAAGAATGAAGTATCTATTATTAGTAACAAGTGGTTCTATTATTAGTAACAACACCTGGTCATAATAATATGAGAAAGCCACTGGGTCCTGTGTAAACAGGTGCTGGGGGGTCTTTGGTAACACACGTATTTTTAATGAAAAACTAAAATATAATAATAATAATTATTATTAACACAAACACAAGGTAGATTATTGCTAAATGCAACAACAGACAACATTCAAAACAACAAACAACATCAAACATACACACACAACAGTGAGTACAATACCTCCATTCATGAAGTGGTCTTGACCCACAGTGTGAAGTAATGAGGTCTAGGACACTGTATCCTGAGCTAAGCCAGTGATATTCTCCAGAGACAGTGTGTTCTAACAATATACTAAACAAGTGAGGGGCCACCTCTAAGTTAGCTCTTAGTCTACTCAGTATATAATAGACTATATCCTAGGGGAGGATCAAAGATTACTGATCTTATGCTAGAGTCAGTCTCACTGCCACATCAGTGTTCTCATCCAGTCTAACACTGCGGGAGTCTCCATTGACTAGTAATACTCTAATCACATGAAGATCAGCGACTCTATCAGTGGACACTGCCATTAGAGAGAGGGACAGAGATGGAATGCCTTCTTGTCTTGTAGTGCACACCCACTACTGGTAGGACACGCCTACTTTAATTTGGCACCTCCCATATTGGAGATGGAGTATCCATGGACCGCGATCAAGAATTTTGATCTTGACTAAAAGACCTTCTCTCTTGATGTCTTTGAGCGACGGGGCCGTCTTTCACTATCATTGGGGACTTGTTGTACTCAATCCTGGCCTTTCCGAGGCTTACCTCATCCATTGCAACTGTATATAGCATTGTATATGTATAACTCATAAGCATGAGTTTTACTGTATTACTGAACATGTACAATTAGGTAAAGTAAAATACAGTACAATACTGTTTTAACTGCTGTATATTAGTGTTTTTACTGTTCTATTTATAGTGAGATGGACTTTGATGTACACTAATGAAGTCTTACTCCTTCTCAAGGGGATAGATCATCTTTTACCAAGATAGGACATCTTATATTCATTATATCTTGTTAATTGTACAACATTACTGTATATACTGAGATATTTAGCTGTTGTTTAATTACTGTGTGGTGTGTAGACTGTTTTACCTGTATTTTAGTGTAGTATCAAGTTTATTATAACAATAACAATAACTATTTAGCTAACTATGATGGCAGTAGTGTCGTTATTACTCCAAAGAATGTATTATTAATAAATGAATTAAAGAGATTGTGCAATACTTCTTTGCATGTTCAGAAGGTTGAGTGGTGTCTACTGCGCATGCGCAGACCTCCTGTGTAAAGGAATGGGCCAACTTACTGTAAGTAACATACCATCTTTACATATAATACCATGGTTTTTTCCAAACAATGGCCAAAAAATCACTCGAAATTTTTATTGCATTTTCTGATGCATATACATGTACTTATGCTGTGTAGAAAGATTGAGCTGATTCCGATCGAGTTTGGATATTTTCTATGATTTTTTAAAATTGCTCCAAAATTGGACAAAAGTCCCTGTACTATATATAGTACAGGGATTTTTGTAAAATTTCACAAAAATTGACAAGTAAAAAATTCCTCAATTTTATTACATTTCCTGATGCATATACAAGTACTTATGCTGTGTAGAAAGATTGAGCTGATTCCGATCACGTTTGGATTTTCTATGATTTTTTAAAGTTGGTCCAAAATTGGACAAAAGTCCCTGTACTATAGTACAGGGATTTTTGTAAAATTTCACAAAAATTGATTAGTAGAAAATTCCTTAATTTTATAACATTTCCTGATGCATATACATGTACTTATGCAGTGTAGAGAGTTTGAACTGATTCCGATCAAGTTTGGATTTTCTATGATTTTTTAAAGTTAGTCCAAAATTGAACAAAAGTCCCTGTACTATAGTACAAGGATTTTGTGTATGATCAGCCACAAATTTTAACTAGCCATTTACCTAATTGTGTTACTGTATCAATTGCTCCAATAGTATCAGGTCACAGAACATGGTAGAGTATCAGGAGAGGATAAGATGTTGAGTGAGATCTATGCACGAGGCCCCATTGCCTGTACTATTGCAGTGACTTCAACCTTTGAACAATATACTGGAGGAGTCTTTAATGATACTACTGGAGCTAAAGTACAACTAATAATGTACTTAATGTATTACCTATTGCCTGTCTATCTATTGTATAGTCACTGCAATCATGAGATATCCATTGCTGGTTGGGGAGTTACTAGTGGAGGAGTTAAATACTGGACTGGACGCAACTCATGTATGTGCATTATCATAATATACACCTACCGCTATGTACTATTGAAAGGAAAACTTCTGTTGTTTTTTGATTAACAAAATTAATGATGACATGGGACTAAAATCACATTTATTTTCATTTATAATTCATAACAGTTAAGAATATAATC